TTGCCATCGAGTGAGATCGCGACGGCATGCACACTGCCGTTGTGTCCAATAATTGTCATCACACAGGTGTCCCAGGTCGGTGCTGGACCGCAAGTGACCAGGAACGGGATCTTGTCCTCGAGTTGGTCAGCATATGTCTTGTAGATCGTTGTCTCCTTTGGTGTGAATGCATACCCCGAGTTGTACACCTGTGGTGCACTCTTGATGATCGGATCGGCAAACTCGCGGATGAATCGATACGTGTCCTTGACCAGTTCCTTCGTGGTGTCGTCGACGATGGTGCTGGGTGCCTTGGCGACCACTCCTCGCAGCACAGCCAGTTGCTCGATGATCGGCTTGACCACATGTGTGAGCGACCCGCACTCGAGCCAGAAGAACACATGCGTCTTGACGAACCGAGTGAGCACCGCTGCCACATCGACCATCTTGGCCGACTGCCACACCGGACTCGACTCGGCCACTCCTTCCACACACCACACAAAGTGTGTGATCCAGTGGGCGACACTGTATCGCAGCGACGGTGTGATCTTGGCTGCGACCCTGTCCTCGAGGTCTGGGATCTTGTCGTGAAAGTCGTAGATATCGCAGATGTTGATCACTGGCTCGTGCGAGAGGATCACGCCGAGACATCCCTTGGCAAACACCGTGTGGAACGAGTCCGATACATGCCACGGATGGCCAGTCGATGCATCGCCGAGGAGATAGTCCGCCACCGACTTGTGGTTGAACTTGACCTCGGTGTTGGTGGACCGGCTGCCTCGGGGACCCAATCCATTGGCACCAGGATCGAGGACCAGACTGAGGCTCTTGAGACACTCGCGAACGACGCCGATCTCGAGTCCAAACACATCGGCGATGATCTGCGGGGTCAGGATCGACTGGGCCGTGGCGATCGCCGACACCACCGTGACCAGTTCGGCTGGGTGACTCGACTGCGAGTGGATCTTGGCGAATGTCTTGTGGTACAGCTGGCCGACATCGGCGGCGCTGTCGTTGATTTCTCGGATCATCTCGACGGTCAGTGTCCGTGGCTCGTGTGCTGCGTCGCTCTCCTCGCACGGAGTCGATCCAGGCTCGGGAGTCTCTAGCTCGTGCTCGACGGTGTTGAGGATCAGGTTGATCCACACGAATGTCTTGGACTGGTCCAGCAGCACCGAGATCGCCTGGGTGCGGTCCGACTCGCTGAGGCTGGGGTGGTCCCTGAGACGATGGTCGATGAACACCCGGAGGTCGCGGATGTTGTCTTCGCTCGACGGCTCGATCGTCGTGGTCGGCACTCCTCGGAAGGCAGCCTTGATGTCGGCCTCGGGGCGGGACGTCAGCAGCAGCTTGATCCGGGACTCGTCCTTCAGCTGCGTGAGTCGCCAGGCCAGGAGCGACAGGATCTCGTCGCGCGGATGGCACTCGTCCAGTCCATCGACCATCACCACGACGGCTCCCTTGGGCCGGTACTGGCCAAGTGCCTCGAGTGGATCCTCAATCACGGCCTTGAACAGGTCCGGGATGCTCATCTTGTCGAGGTCGTCCTTGGAGTGGCCAACGTCGAGGAGCCGACGGCCGATCGGTGCGTACCAGCGACACAGTCCATATGCGATCGTGGTCAGCAGGATGCGGGGGTTGTTCTTGCGGGTGTCGTTGTACTTGAGGAACAGCGATGTCGCCAGCTGGTCCCGACCAAGCAGGATGTTGGCGATCTGGGCGGCAGCGACGGACTTGCCGACACCGGCGACGGCATTGACCCACAGGACCAGGTCGGCGTTGTCGTCGTCGTCGACCCAGGCAGTGACATGGTCAAACAGCCACTGGCGGGTTCCCTCGACATACAGATCCTCGAGCGCCTTCCTGTCGGGGTCAAAGTCGATGGGATCGAGCAGGACGCGGAGCTGCGAGTCTTCGTCGGCAGCGAGGACGATGGGTCGGCTCTGGTGGTAGAGGATGCCCTCGGCGATGGCCCTCTCGGTCTTGGCCACAAGCACTCGGATGTACGGAGAGAGCCTGTGTGGTGGCGGGGGATGGACGAATGAGAAGGGAATGGGGTCAGTTGGATGTGGTCAGATGGATGTGCAGCAAGGTGAGGCGATGTATATGGTGTCGTGTGGTGTTGTGAGAGGAGTCTGATGCAGCATGGTGCACATGGCATTGATGGTGTGCATGGCATTGATGGTGTGCATGGTGTGCAGGATGTTGCGATCAAGCATGACAGCAATGCAGAAGAAATGGTTTGCCATCGATGGGATGACAGCAGCCACCCACCTCATCACCGCCGTCCCATCGGCGGCATTGAACTGCTGGAGAGCCAGGACATCTCGGATGGTCTGGCGGATCGACACGGGCTTGCCGTCGACGAGGGGACTCAGATCGTGGCAGGGCGGCTCGTCGGGAAAGTCGTCGGGGTTGGGGAAGTACTTGGAAGCATAGGTCTGGTTGTTGATGATGCGGGTCGACCACATGTAGACGGGCTGGACGGTCACCGGGCGGCCGGTGGTGGCCGACTCTCGCATCCGACGCAGGGCATGCTGGACCTGAGTGTGAGTGTGAGTGTGAGTGTGAGTGTGAGTGTGAGTGTGAGTGTGAGTGTGAGTGTGAGTGTGAGTGTGAGTGTGAGTGTGAGTGTGAGTGTGAGTGTGAGTGTCAGGGACTATCGAGTGCAAGTGCATCGACATGGATGGCTCGGCCAACCGCTCGCTTGCTCACCTCCAGGAACTGGTTGTCTGGCTTGAGGTGTGCCTCGCGGGTGCGGCTCAGTCCCCGCTCCGACAGAACCAGCACAATGACCTGCGAGTTGACCAGGCCGTTGATGAAGCCCGTCTCCCAGTTCATGGCATCGACGAGACACAGCTGGTCGAGGTACGGACACAGGTTCTTGTCGTATTGGCTGGACGACTTGAGGGCGGCGTAGAGCTTGATTGCGGGCATCTCGTCGCTGAAGACTCGATAGCTGGGCAAAGAGGCGATGGTCAGTGGGCACTCTGGATGTCGATGTTGCCAGTGCAGACATGGACATGGATTGATGATCAACCGGCTGGAGTGCAGACACCCCACACTGCACCACAGACATCGCCGTACCTGATGAACACCTCGTGGTCCCTGTTGCCCAGCTGGCACTTCCATCCCCTCGTCAGCGGAGGCGGTCTGTATCGGACCACAGGGAGAACAGCATTCTCGCTGCCATCGGGTGTCTTGGATGGCGGTGGCTCGCTCTTGTGGACGACAACAGGCGACTCGGTGTGCTGACGCTGGGCTCGCTGGATCTTCTTGATGGCGCCGAGCTTGAGCCCGATCTGCTTCATCTCTGGCTCGGTCAGAGAGAGGACCTGGACAGGCAGCCGTTGTTCAGCAACAATGTCTGGATGGCCAGGGGCATCGACGGCCGCAGTGTCGGCGACATTCCATCGCCAGCATGGACACCGTCCAACCATCCAGTGCATCATGCCATCGGCTGCAGAGTCAAGCAACCCACCAGGTCGGTGCTGTTGATCTCGTGGTCGACCAGGAGGGTCTTGTTCCTGGCGAGATCGTGCTTGTCCAGGAAGGCATCAAAGTCTGGCACAAGGGTCAGCAGCAGACATTGCCGTCACCCGCCATCGGTGATGCATCATCAACAGAGGCTCACCTGTGGCCGCAGACATGGCGCACTGGCTGTTGAATGGGATGGATGGATGGAGCGAGAGGAGGGGCGACTGCCAAGGAATAGAATGTGGAGGACAAGCCCAAACACCGCCCCTCCCCTCAAGTGGTGCTCAATTCAAGGAGACGACCATGTCCCAGAAAAAAACGAGCAACACGCCCGCTTCTATGGCATCAGAGGCATGCAGCCTGGGCTCGTTTGAACATGTCGCCTGATTTATTTGATCGCCCGTAATGCGGGGATCCGACTAATCCTGTTTCGACTGGTATTCTCATATCCCTTCCAGGTGACCAGGTCGTCGTGGTGGATTGATGATGCGAGCCATCCTCGTTCGCCCCAATGCCTGGCCCTCTCGGCCAGCGGCAACTCGACCGGGCCATGATGCTTTTCTCGGCCGAATTTTGGAGAATATTCCCACCTTGCGCTTTCCAGCATTGATTCGCCGAGACAGGAAGCCCTTGCCAATCACAGCGCGCCGAAATCCGATGTCGAGTGACGTCGTCATATTCAAATCGGGCCTGGAATCGCCCTCCACCTGAGCGACTCCTTCGGGCAACTTGAGCAAGCAGGATTTGCAAATTCACACTCCTCATATCGCTATCGGAGACCGCACACATCCTTCGGTCATTGATTTGCACCATGGATTATGATGTGAGCGTGAGCCAAGGTTCTCTTGGAAGCAATCCATCCAAAATCCATCCCAAAATCCATCCCAAAATCCGGTTCCTGAAACCCAGTTCGGGGCACCAAGCCGGACTGCCCTTTTCAATGAACGACCCCGAGGATCGTCACTCGGCAAGCCACGACACTTCGGCACGGCTATTGCTATCGAGCCGAGTTGGAAGAAGCAGGGTACAGGCAGCTGTCCTCCGTCCCGAAGCACAAGCTCGAACAAGATGGACAAGCCGCTTCTGAAGTCCGAGAAGTTGGGAAGTTGTGGTGCTGTTTCAGGTGGAAGACAAAGTCGTCGGTCATCGAATTCAGAAAACCTCTGCCGCGAGCATCCAGCTGTTGCTCTGGTCAGGAAAATCGCAGCCACCATCGTGAACTCGTCCACCTTCAAGAAAACGATCAAGTTCCTGTCGAACGAGGTGACGCAGATCATGGCATGGCTGGCGGTTGCGGTTGTTGCGCACACGTTCGTGACGGGAATCTTCATCATTGCGCTCTACACCGTCATGCCCGGGATCTGGGTCTACAACTTTCTCCAGCTGTTTGTGATTGCCTGTGCCCTGCTCGCCCACCATGCCAGCACCCGCATCTCCGACATCATCCGGCTCTCGATGACCGCAAGCGACCTGGTCCGCGGGAAGATCACTGTGGCCGAGATTGCCGACTTTTGGGTCAAGGGAAAGAGGAGCCCCGGCTACAAGATCATCCAGATCAGCTACCTCATCGAGATTGTCTCGGAGCTGATCCTGATTGGATGCAGCATCTCGTTCGTGTGGGACGCCACCGAGACCTTCCTGCTCCAGGGAACATGCAATCCGCCAAACTATATCGGCTCGGTTCTGTCGCCCAACATTGCCATCCAGCAGTTCATCCAGGGCGACGCCGACTTTGCCACCGTCTACAACTACGGACTACCGCTGTCGGACGGCATCATCGGCGCCTGGGCCGGCTAGCCAATGAACAATCCGATGGACTCGTTCACGATCGAAGGCCAGGGACCGGTCTACATCATCCAGGCCGAGTGCGACGACGGACAGCCGCAGCCCTCGATCAACACCAACGGCGCCTCCAACATCGTCAGCTCGGTCCTCTCGTCCAACGGCCGCGGATTCATGCTCGAGATGAGCGTCACGCTCCCGGCAGGAAGTGTCTTTGACGACATTGCCCAGACCGTCGTCAACTCGACCTTCCAGCAAGAGTGCGTTGTGTTTGTCCAGGTCGGAGTCGGAGTCATCCAGTACAGCTTTGTGTTGGACCAGTGGTCGGCAGTAACGGGCGGTCGACTGGTGGCAGCATCGAGTCCCTCGAGGTCGTTCTCGGTGGCCTATCCGACATCGCCGTCGAGCTTTGCCCGGACGGCCCAGCTGGCCTTCCGCGAGACCACCGACAGCTACGGAGTGCTGCCACTGATCCGTCAGAGCGTCTTTCAGTCGGTCCTCAACGCCAGCTACTACCCATCCCAAGGCGCCACCTTCTGCAACTACCTCTCGTGGGCAACCTATCCCGACGGATACTACCACACCGAGGCCATGTATCGGGGCGTGGCCGTCGGGATTGGGTCGTCGGCGCACTATGCCATCATGCATTATCACTCGGCGCTGACGGTCAACTGCGACTACTACGGGTTTGCCGGAGCCGGAATGCTCTCGATTCCACCGCTCCCGATCATCATCGCAGCGATCGGCTCGGCAACAGCGATCTTGAGCAAGATTGCCGAGATCATCTACTGGGCGACGATGCGGGCGACCAAAAAGACGCCTGGATTCACGGAGGCCCGCCGAGCGCTCCAGCATCCGATGCGATTTGCTCTTGATACCGCCCACACTCTGTCTCGGTTCCAGACATCCAGTCCCGACGACTACTGCAACGTCACGACACGCAAATCGGTCCGGGCCATCGGCAACCGGATAGTGCGGTATGGCGAGGACATCAATACGTGCGAGAACGAGATCGGGCACCTCCAGATCGGCGAGGCCGGGTTCATCTCGACGGTCAAGGAGGACAAAATGTACGGCAGCTTCACGCCAACGTAGCATGTCGAGTGGGACACTCGCTTTGAGGCAGGATTGATGTGTATTTCTGGAAACTGAATACACACTCGCTCATCGTTCGTGATGACCAAACGCAGCATTCTCGATTTCCATGCCGCTGCGCTGCGATGCTGCTCGCTGCTCCGTAGCCTGCACAGATTGTCTCCAGGAGCACTACACATCGCTCAGGGAGTTTGACCAATGAGCTTTGAGAGACCCAGCCTCCACAACCAGGACATGAGCATGGGCATCTAGAGGTTGAAGATCTTGACCGATTCGGGCAGTCCAACGAATTGGCATGGACTGTGCCCATGTATCAAAAGCTGCTCCAGGTGTGGCATCGGAAGAAATTGGACAAACGTATCCCCTGGCCCACTGATGGACACATGAAGGGTCCTGATGGTTGCGAATGCGGCCGAGAGCATTTGGAGACCACTGAACGACGACGGAATCCACAACTCTGTCACCGATGCTGAAACCAGAGCGCCTGAGCAATGAGTATCGAAATCATTCAGGGAAGGGCCTGACTGGGGCAGTTTGAGTAGCTTGAGCTCGGGCATGACAGGCAGCCACCGGAGCGACTCCAAGCGACTGCAGCCCCACATATTCATTTCCACGAGGCGATCCAATTGCGCTGGCAATCCTTGCAATGAGAGAATAGATGGGGGAAGGACGAGTATTTTCAAACTTGGAAGGAGGGGCAGTCCCACCAGTGAAGCAATTTGGGCGTGATGGCCCAAATCAAGCGACTGCAAACGACAGAGGCTCTGAGGGATGCATTCGAGACTTTTGAGAAATAGGGGCAGCATCAACTTTTCCAGCTGGGGCATTTGGGGCATTCCCTCCAGGCTGTCAATCTCGCCTTCTGGAAGCTTGCCATTGAGCTGCAGATCAGAGAGAAAAGGGAAAGCGACCGGCCAGCCAGAGACAGACGAGAAACTGCAGTTCACAAGACGAAGGGTCCGAAGGGGCCGATTTTGGATAGTGTCGAGTTCGTGAGGGAGCAGTTGAGACCACTGCTCGGCAGTGTGGAAGGGGTGGTGATCAAATCGGATGACCGAGTACCCAAACCGTCCGTGAGGCATTCCGCTGCAGCTTCGACAGTGTCCACGCTGGATGATTCGAGCACTGTCAACGATGTGGAACTGCTCCTGCGGGTCGAGTGTTCGAACCATGTCCTGTGAAGAGTTTGATGTGCAGGCGTGACAGTCGACGTTGGCTTGGATCAGCCCGGCCGACAGCAGACGCCTGGTATTGGCTTCGAGAGAGGGACAGCGACAGATTGCCCACCAGAGTGGCATCTCTTTCTGGTAGGCTTCAAAGCTGCGAGGGCAGCCATCCTTGCGACTGCAGAAGGAACACATGCCCTCGAGGACCTGTCTGCGATCGATGGACACGTCAACTCCGGTGAATATGGCTGCTGTGATTTTGAGTTTGCGATAGAGCTGGTGCATCCACGCCCTGTTCGAAACGAGAGACAAGACGCCTCTGTACTGACGAGCGAGCTGAGGAAGTTTGGTGAGGGTTGCCAGGTCGAGGGTAGCGAGGAAGGCGTCGTTGCAAACCATGACATGGGAGAAAGTCGAAATTGGAAAGGGACGCAGATGGGGAGCTAACTGGAAGCATATCGGCCACCAAGGAGTTGGGGCATTCCTGGCTGACGGGTCGCTGGGGCGCCATTCTGAATGTGAGCAGGAGGAGAGCGAGGAGAAGTGGCAGATGGCTGGAGGAAGGCGACAGGGCCAGAGCCAGGACCACGCCTTGGCATCAGGCCAACCACGGCGATTGGGTCGTGGCCACGTGAATGGGTCTGGGGCTTGTGTCCTGGTTGTTCTCCCAAGTCCCTGAGCAAAGGGCTTGGCCCATTCACATTGCTCTCTCTGGCTGCCATAGACGACTTTTGGTCGTTGAGATGGGTATCTTGAAGACCGCGAGTACCCAATCGAGAGCAGCTGTTCCTCGCAAACGCAAGTTGGCCAAGGACGATGGACTTGCAAGTAGCCAAGCACTGGGTGCCATTGTGGACTGGCCCAGTGATCCGAATTTGGTTTGAATCAGAGGGCCAGAGCACACCTTTCTTCGGCCCATTCATCCACTTCGCCAAAAATCTTGAGCCCACTTGATCGTTTGCCTCCATCAGAGCCAAGTGGCGAACGTGTACGGGGACGTTTCTCCGCCTCTGTCACCATACCCGGCGAGTCAAAGTGATGGAGATTGACAGGAGTCAATGGAATCAAGTTCTTCGTCTGGACGGAAACAATCCGGAGCGACCGTTCGCGAAGGAAATGGCAGTGCTGTATTCAAACACAGTCCGTGCATCCTTGGTTGTCATCCGAGATCATCTGTGAGTACCTGCTATTCCTGCACTTCGTTCATCACCCACTAGAACACGCCGATTCGCTGATCTCGATTGACAACACAGGACCAGGAGAGACACCGAGTTCTTCGCGAGGCTGAAAGAGGAAGCTTTGAAACTGAAGACAACTGCCTCGACCTTGGGATTCACCCGAATGGCAACACTCTGCATGATGCTGGAGAAACTGAGTGAGCTGAAGGACCCAGACAACACAACAGTCGCGTGCATTGGGAGCGCTGAAGCTGTTAGAAAGTCATGGCTCACGCTCACAGAGATGGTTAGGGAGTTTCGCCAGAACCAAGCGTTCCTCCAGGAGTCTCTCGCTATTCTCCTGGAGCCACTTTCGTCAAGGGATGCAATGCTCTCAAAATGAAGTTGGCACCCTATTTTTGATGTCCCTGCGAGCCTTGAAAACACACACAGCCGCCATCCATAGCAGAGACCACCCGGTCCACAGGGTAACTGAGACGTGTGCGTGCTTACTGCAAAGCGAAGCGAGACTCCTCTCTGGAGACACTGAAGTGATTGCAAAGATCACTTCCTTCCTCGACTTCGACGGACAGCATGGACACCTTGCTGGGCAAGGGCTTTGAAAGTGGACGTGGGCTCTGCAGGTACAATTTGGGCAGTCGATTCGACGCCTGTCAGCGATGCATGGGTGAACGGTCGCATCCCGAACCTCCCAAACATCAACCCAGCGGCGATGCATAATGTCCACGATGCTATGCAGATTTACCACAGGGTACGTACCTGACATTGCTGGAAAGTTCTTCCATCCATAGGACACAAAACCCTCGGACTGGATGGTGACCAAGGCAGGGCAGCTTGAACAGGCCGAGTTGAGAGAAGGTCAGTTCGTGGATTTGCTGGCCAGAGCGCTCGAGGTCGTGGTGCGACTGCCTCACCAAGGATCGCCCAAGTCGGCCAAGGTGAACTTGAGCCTGTATGTTCCTTCGACTCGAATGAACAGCTTGGAGAACACAAAGAAGACGCCGGTCATGGAGTTTTGGGCACTCTTGGAGAAAACAGCCGAGGAAACCAAGTTCCCGAAGAGCGAGGGTTGGGCGGCTGGAAACAGCATCCTCGCGACTTGGTCGCTGTCGCTCAAATCCTGAAGCCAGTCGGGACTGCCTGCATCAGGGCTGCAGCTCTGGCAGCCTTGGAAGATGGTGGGTCAGTTCCAACGCTCGTGGTGCATCTGGGGATGATGGCGACGTCATGACTGGCGACTTACCATTGGCTGCTGCGACAGGCGCCATGCTTGGCGAACCAATGACGTTCTCTGTCTGGAGCGAGTCAGTGTCCGGGGGTGGGGTATGAGCGACCCGATGATGGAGTGCCAGGGAAGTCGAGGGGCGAGGAACAGCTTCCTTGAGCCGGGCCGGGTTGACGACAAGGCTTCGATCCTCCATGCCATCAGCAGCATAGAGCTGGACATGGATCACAAAGAGCGACGCTTCCGTCATCAACGAGGGACTAGTCCGTCCGAAAGCTCCGGTTAGCAAAGACAGACGACACAGCCCGCTCGCCCCGTTCTCGCATGAACGACGCTTCACCCAAGACATGCTGGGATACTTGCTCAGATATCAACTCTCCATCAGCACCCCGCCGAAAGAGCTGCAGGACCGGGGCTGGATCGATTGGCCGCCCATGAAGCTGATGGCCAAACCCAGAGGAACGAACTCTCTCGGGCTGGTCTACAATCTTCAGAAAAAACGGGTGCTTGCTGGGCTGGTGGAGACAACAGAGAGGATAAGCCAAGGTTTTCGACCCTGTGTGGTCAGGTTGATGGCAGGCAAAGCATCCGCTTGAGCCGGTGATGCCCTCGAGGTCCCAGACACGTCATCTCAACGTTGTTTTGGAGCCGAGTGACTGGATCAGCAGCGACCAACGATGACAACAAACGACTCAACCTTGTTCGTACCATGGTGTCGAAGCCTCCAGAAGGATTGAGCATCGAAAGAGTTGATGTTTGCTGGCCGCCGCTTGGTCGTGGGGCTTTATCGCCAAGCCGGGCAAGCCCCCCTTTACCCAGACCACTTCACACCTCACGGCGAACGGTCATGAGCGGAGAGTTCCAACATTGTCCTCCGCTTGGCTCCCCGACAGCGAGCCGCTGCGAACGACCATTGTTTCTGATCCAAGCGCACTGCACCAACCATCCTCCGGTGGATCGTGCAGGCCCAGCACTGTGAACCAGCCAAGCTGCGTCAGCAACGGCGAGTGACGAATCCGGGAGCTGTGACCGTGACCCAACTTGACCAAAGGATTCACATAACGCAGCCGGTTGCCTCTGGTTGCCCTGCGGGGCTGAGTTCCATTGGAGGGAGTGATCGACAACGCCACTGTTTCTCCCTCGCCTCCGCACACCAACGGCTCGAGCCTGGACCACATGCACGAACGGCCCACAGTGCCTGCCAAGATATAACTCTCAGAGCGATGATGGCGGCTACCCATCAACTTCTCCAGCGCCATGCCTCGTGAGGTCATCCAGATTCACAGTCCTTTACCAACCCGGCCCCGATCCTGTTGCTCCTTGGCTGAAGCGGAGGAACAAGATGATCGCTGCGGCAATAAGGCCAGCGACGAACAGGCTGACGATGAAATACTCGAAGAAATTGATCGCACAATCTCCCAACAGCTCTGCTTGACGGATGCCCTGGAGCTGATTCGCACCACAAAGTCGCCGACTGAATTCGATACCCTCGAGCTCCGGACTGCCTACAACACGATCATCAACAGCGAGGTGGCATCGGCGCTGCCAGCTGGCCCAACGAGACAGGATCAGGCCATGTCCCCTTCTCCCTCAGGCGAACAAACAGGAACGCCTCTCTCGCCCGCCGCTGACCACCCAAGCCACGCTACCAATTTCCACCAGCTGTCGTTCGAGGGCGAGAGCATCCACGATCACGATCGCAGGTGGTCCCAGATCAGGCCCTCCCAATCTCGAATTGGCTTGCTTGGGGTGCAAGCCATGGACAATTTGCGCCACCATTTCACCAAGCCAGAATCGCATCCAGCACAAGGTGAGTCGCAAGGAGGGAAAGTCCTGTCTTGGCCTGGTGAGGGTTTGAACGAGGCGCTCTTTGGTGGCAGGAAGATCCGTCGTTTGGGTGGGATCACGTGAATGGGTCTGTTGCCTCTTCCAACATGCCCCGCCGCATTTTCGAGACGAGCCGCTGGGCTCTGGCCCACCAGCCCTCGGCGGAAGTGGGAAATCCCAGGCAAGAGCGGAAAAAGCATCACCAGGTACCACCGCATCACATCCGTGATATGAGTGAGCCAGCAAGGGCCTGTACTGACTGACTGAGCCCGATTCGCAGCATGAACATCAACGATCTTCTGAACCCATGCGAGTCTGCTTGTCGCCCTGATTCGTCCGGGGAGTCGGCCCACACAGAGTCTCGAGCTCATCGGCGAACGAAGCGAATACCCAATGTTTGCCATCACTGCAACATCATTTTCAAACGCAGGCAGGAACTCACTCGCCACACACGCTCACTCCACACCGACGAACGACCATGGATCTGCCCTGGATGCCACAAGGGCTTCGCTCGCGCTGACGCTCTCAAGGGTCATCTGTCCAGAATGATTGCACAGATCAAAGGCTGCTCCTCGAATCGAGCGTGGTGATCAATACAATCGGGAGCATGTTTCATCAGCCTGATCAGTCATTCACACAGGAGGCTTGGATGCGTCAACAGGGCTCGCGAGGTGTGGGTACATTCCAAGATTGATTCGGGCAACCCCGTTCTCGTGCTCGGCTGCGATGGTAAGCCAATGTAGGGCCAAACTGTGGTTTTGCTGAACCCCGAATCCATGGAAAAAGCAGCATCCGAGGTTGTTTTGAGCATGGACGTGGCCCTGGAGGGCGGCTTTGGTGTACCACTCCACAGCCTTGCCAGGATCGACGGGGGTTCCGAACCCAAAATGGTGATAGACGCCAAGTCTGGCCTGTGTATCGCACAGGCCCTGGTTGCCAGCCATGGTGAACCACTGGAATGCCTTGATCGGATCCTGATCGACACCAAGACCTTTTTCGTAGCAAAGCCCGATGCGATCCTGGGCCAAGGCATCCCCTTTGGCGGCGGCCATGTTGAAGAGATGGAATGCTTTGGCGTGATCTTGGGTCACTCCGGTTTTTATTTTTTTTATTTTATTATTTCACTTAAAAGCTATCAAGACCTGGTCGGCCCTAGCAGTACATGGGGGAAAGAAAAAGAAAAAGAAGGAGAAAAATAACAAGGGATGGGATACTCATAGGCCTAATGGGCAGTTTGCGTTCGATGAAAGCTATATGCCCTCATCTCTCGCTCTGCTTCGACCATGCCGCCTATCGCCTGGGGGGTTTCCACCCCGCCTTGGCGATGATCAGCGTCTTGAACACCCTTCGGAGTGTTCGCCACAGGAGGTGTACATCCGGGTCTTGCCAGTTGAACCTTCTCATGCCATCCAGCTCGTAGTAACCCACTACGTTCGTCAGGTCCAGGAGCTTATCGATCGGACCGACCTTTTCGTGGCCGCTTTCTTGCCACTCGGGGTGCCGCAGCTCGAGTTCATCTACTATCCGTTGCCACGAGCCGCCTCTTCCGACGCAGCTCTGGGTGTGGGTCCGGCACATCGCGACAAACTCTCCTCGGCTCTTCGTGCAGGAGATGCACAGCCGATAGTGGCCATACGGGTGTCCGGGGAAGGCACCGAGGGTCCATCTTACCATCATGTTGTGATAGTATCGATCTCTCTTGGGCCCTCGCTCGGCCCACAGTCCCGACATGGTCGTCGTCACGGTGCGGGCCGAGGTCAGTTCCTTTGACCTGTCGAAGCCTTGCGCGTCATCGATGTGGATCTGCAGCTTGACTGGTGGTCCTGTGAGCTGGTAGTAGCCGTTCCTGAACAGCTCCTTCATCGGGTAGTCCGGCTGGCACTGTTCTTTCAGCACGATCAGCTGTCGCCAGTATTCGTCGAGGTAGAACTGGGAGCCGAGGGATGCATCCATCAGGCTGGGCTGGATGCGGGAATATCTCAACACCATCGAGACCATCTTGTCGTTGTGGTCCAGACGGTCTTCCCAGACGGCTCGGTTCTGGATGGCCAGCTGCTTGAGGCGGTTGGGCAGGGTGATGAGTCCGCATCCGAGGTGCATCGCTCCGTAGGACGTGTTCCGCACCACTCTGAAGAGTCGGGTCAGACAGTGCATCTGTGCTCGTCTGAGTATCACGGCTTGCTGCTTCGTGAGCACTTCGAGGGTCAGTCCATACTCGAGCATGGGCCGAACGAAGGTCTTGAACACCCTCGTCACCGTCTTGGCCGAGTATCGGCCCAGACTCATTCCGTGCTTCACCAGCTTGTCGGCGGCACCTCTAGCCTTGTGGGTGAGGTTCTGGATCTGGCGGTCCATCCTGAAGCCGTTGATGTCGACGATGGCTCCGAGATACCGGAACTCCTTGGCGACTGGCAGCTCCTTGCCGTACAGGTGCACCTTGGCATCCTTCTCTGGGTGCTGTTCGGTGAACATCACCTCGCACTTCGGGGGCGAGAACTGGTATCGATTCTCGATGCTGTGGGCCTCGCAGATGTCGAGGAGGCGCTGGGTCTGGTTGGGGCGGCAGATGAGCACCCCATCGTCGGCAAACCACAGTGAGTTGACCTGGACGGCTCGTCCTCGGGTGGTGGTTAGGGTCGTTCCACCGTCTGCCCGGAGTTTCCCAGGGAGGTCGTCGATGAACACGCTGAACATCAGCGGGCTCAGCACCGATCCTTGGATCAGTCCCTTCTGCAGCCAGACCGGATTGGACCGACGGCTCTTGCTAACGACTTGAATCTTCACATCGTCGAACATGGCCTTCAAGAGCCTGAGGGTGATCGTACATGGGGTGCGCTCTTCAATCTTGTCCCAGAGCTTCTCCCTCCAGACAGTGTCGTAGGCCGCCTTGATGTCGAGGAACACCAGGGAGTACTCCTCGCCCGCCAGCTGGCGGTCCTTGATGAGCGTGTCCAGGCCAAAGATCTGGTCGAGGGTGCCTCGCTCGGCCCGGAATCCACCTTGGGCAATGTCCATCAGTCCGAGCTTTCGGTTGAGCAACGGCAGCAGTGCTCGCTCGACAACCTTTCGGCAGACTTGGGTCAGTCCAATCGGCCTGTACATTGCGGGGTCGAGGGGCGATCCCTTGTTCTTGTAGACGGGATGGATCAGCACTGTACTCCACTCAGTTGGGACCACGGACGCCTTGATGGCTGCTCCCATGAGGAAGTAGAGCCATATCGAGACTCTATATGCGTTGGGCTGGAGCAGTTCGATCTTGATCCTGTCCGACCCTGGGGCCTTCCTTCGTGGTGTTGTAATGATCGCCTCCTTGATTGCCCGTGGGCTGATTATGGGGAGCTCGTAGCTGGGGGGGAGTCGTCTACGCTCTTGGCTCGGTGTAGGGGGCTCGAGTGTTCGATCGAACCCGTTCGCCGTGGCCGTTGAGTCCGCCGAGACTCTGCCGAAGTGGCAGACGAGTCTCTCCAGCGCTTCGTCAGAGTTGTCGAATCGGTGGGCACCTTCCCGGGCCTTTCGCTTCTGCATGGCCCCGAGCGTCTTGGAAAGCTCAGTGCTGTTCATGCGGTTGATTTTCTCGGCCAGTTTCTCGTTGCTCGCTTTTCGGCACTTTCGGATGGCCCGGTTGAGGTTTCGTCTGACCACCCTGATTTTGTCTCGAAGGTTCTCCTTCATGACAGGGTCCGTGTGGTGCCTCTTGAGCTGCTTCTGGAGCTTCTTCCTCTCCTTGGTCAGATGACGGATCTCGACGGTGAGCTCCGGGGTCTTCCAGATCAATTTGACCTGTGTTTTGCCCAGGACGCTATCTGCCACCGTGTTGATTGCATTCTTGATGACTTCCCATGCTTGGTCCATGGCCAGCTGTGCGTCTGCCTGGCTGATGGGTATCTCAGTGCCGTCGTGGATGGGCTGGAGGAGCCTCTCTATCTCGTTTAAGACTAGGCCGCTGACTCGCTCAATGGCGCACTTGTACGTTTCCCAGACCTCCGGGTTCTCGAGGAGTCTGAGGTTCCACTGCCAGTTGTCGGCTTTTGGGTACACACTCCTCGTGAGTTTCACAGTGGTCCAGATCAGGCGGTGGTCGGATATGAGGTATTGTCCCTCCATGTCCACCTTGAGGAGCGGGTCGTTGTTGGCTTCCGCTTCCGACACAAAGATATAGTCGATGGTCGATCTTCGGTTACCCCGGATCCGAGTTGGGGTCGGGATCGCTGCCGGTGGGATGATTTTCATCCTGGCTCTCCGCAGGGTGGTCGTGAGAGCGGTCTCCTTGGCTCTGTTTATCACCCTTCCGCCGTTGAGGTCGCTCAGCGACAGGTTGAAGTCTCCCATCACGATGACTTGGGCATTGGGCATCCGCGCATACTTTTCAATCGACTGTACCGCTTGCGCAAACTCTTCGGTCTTCACCGGGTGGGGGATATAAAAGTTTCCGATGTATGTTCTGGTGCCGTACCTGGTCCACGTGTACAGCTTTCCCTCGTCGGTCTCTTCGATGTTCAGGTCGTCGGGATCGATTGTCTCGGGGTTGAACACCAGCGCCAGTCCACCGCCCAGGCTGTCTGTTCGACGGGCCTCATGGGCTGTGACCTTGGCCAAGGGGTTCCGCGCTTCCGGTGCCAGTTTCGTTTCCTGAATTGCGATGAAGTCTACTCCTTCGTTCTTCAGGATCTCTCGGATGGTGTGCTCCGTGGAGACACCATCCTCGGTGCTTTGACCATTTACGTTAAAGGATGCGACGGTGAGGTTGGTCTTGACCTCAGCGTCTCCTTCGTCGTGGGGCTGATTCATAATCGCTCTGCGGCCCCCGCCGCTTCGGCCTCAGTATGAATCTGGTATGACCTTTCGATCACCCCCTCGACCAGGTCTGACGAGCTCCGAAGCGCTTCGGGTACCGTCTCGGCCGGTAGGTCTGCCTGTTGCAGCGTCTCAGGCTCCGCTTCCACCTCTATAGCTCGTTGGCTTGGGGTGGTCTGTGCTTCTTCGCGTAGGCGGGGGCTGTTGCGGATGTTCTCCGCCACGGGGTATTCCCGTGGGTCGACCCTGACGCTGTCCTTGTCGATCGTCAGTCCTCGTCGGACCAGCGCCAGAAGCCGATCGAACTCGGGCCGATGTTCTCTGGGCACTCGCATCTGGATGTCTCGGACGACCGTCATTCCGCGTGCACGGGCTGCTTGGGTCACCGAGGCATACAGGAACCTGCGCATATGGTTGCGCTTGTCTTGGGGCGATGTCATTTTGACCGGTGGAGCTGCAGGGTTGAAGTTCGGGAGGTGGGTCACCACCGGCCGTCGTCCTGGGGGTTTGCAGAGGGACTTGATGATTGCGTCTGCGTCTCGGCTGTCCCAGAGGAGGAGATCGATAATGTCTCGTCCGTGGAATGAGATGTCGGCGATCTTTCTGTCGTCGATGCCGCATCCCTTGAGGGCCGTTCGGATGAGCTTCAGGCTCATGGCCTGGATTCCCTTGAAGTACAACCGTTTGGTTCTTGAGAACTTATCTCTCAGCATTGGGCTTTCGAGGTCAGCATTCTCGATGCTACCGCTGATGGCCGCGGGTCTCGTTTTCTGGCGCGCACCTTGGAGCATGCCTATCCACAGCTTTGGCTGCTTGATCTGGGGCTGCAGGGCGATGCGTGTGGCAATTTCTTGCGGCTTTGGTTTGGCCGCGGGTACATGTCCCATCGGCTTAGGCTTGGTGTCCTGTGATGTGCGGGAAGGGGGAGTGGAGGCTTTCTCTCTGGTTTTCTCAGCCTCCCGTTGTTGCTCTCGGGCCGCCTTGAAGATGACTTTGCTCGAGTTCGAGAGCTCCAGTCCTTCTTTGATGAGGGCGTTGAGCGCACCCTCCGTGTGTCTGGTTTCTTCTGCCGTGGGAGGGTTGTGCTTCTCGGCCAGGGCCACATTCAGGGCGTTTTGGAGCTGGGCCACGAACTTGCCCATGATGTTCTCCAGGAGGGCGATGTGGTTTTGCTTGGCTAGCTTTTCTGGGGGGTCTGGGCGTGCATCCTCGTCTCGCCGAGCGGCTGGCTCGGCGTTGTTTGCCTTGCCCGCCACCGCCTGGGCATAGGAGATCTTCCCTATCCCGTTGATAGCTGCTGGTCTGTGCTGGGCTTCGATCCTCGCCTGTGTATGCTCTTGGATCTTGAGGCCACAGCGTTGGTAGAAGGTGGCTTTTTTCGATCCTAGAACCGACTCGGCTGCTACGAGGTATCTCGCTCTATCTTGGTTGGATGAGCGGGTCATTCTGCCCCAGAACACCAGGGCTGGCATCTGTCCGCGGCAGGGAGTGCCGTCGAGGACGTTGGGGCACCGAAGCTGGACCTCTTGGCCATTCTTGATGGGCGTCCAGGTCGAGGTGGCGTTGGACTTGCACACTTGGCATTCCACAGTGTGCTGGAGCTCGGGGAACACTGTCCTCCAGAGCTCGGGGGACATCTTCTCAACCGGGATGTGTTGAGCGGCATATCTAAGTTCGCCAACGGTGCTGGCCAGTCGCCATGCTGCGTTGAAGAGCTCCCTCGCGGTCTTGGCCTGATCGCGGGGGGATTCTCGAGATTCCGCCAAGATCTCGGCAGCAAGGTAGTTGAGGCTGTTTCGCATGGACAGCCCACTTCGGTCCCCAGCCGCTTCACGCCTTCTCTCTACGAGGGTTGGAGTGGTCAGGGCGGATGGACGAGCGACGGTCTGTTCAAGGCCGGGAGGCTCGGCCATGTCTTCGAAGTCGGCGGTTTCGTCTTCGGCTGGAGGCTGGTCAGCCACTTCAGGAGCGGTGTGATCTTGGGCCGGATCGGCCCCTTGGCTCAACCTCCATTGGTTGAGGCGGTTCTCTCGGTCTTTCTTGGACCCAGTGACAGCGAGACCTCGTTCCTTGCAGGCCTGTTTGAGGGCCTTGTCGGTGAGGGTTTCGAGGTCAGGGGGCAGAAAGATGGCGAGCTGGCCCTCTATAGGGACCGCGCCTCCGGGGGGTTGGGGCACCGCAGGAGTCGCCGCTGGCATGGCTCTTCGGCGAGCTGGTTGAATGGGGGGTCTAGGACCAGTCCCTCTCGGGGAGGGGGCGGTCGTTGGGGGTAGTGTGAGGTTTACTATCACGTCTCGCTCTCTCAAGATTCCCGAAAAATCGAGATCAGGTGAAAGCTCTGGTTCTCAAAGGCTGCTGCCCAAGGATTCACGCTCGCTCAGGCAATGCTCGAGCGGTTTGCCCCCAAAAATATGGCCACTGACGACGATTCAGAGGATGTAGAGGGAGTGGGAACAACGAGGCCACCACGAAAGCACATCAGGTGAACCTTGACAAATGGCTGTACTGATGCAGCGCACCCATAGCGAAGCCACCGGGGCTTTCAGGGCAGCACTCGAATTCGACCGATGGGCTGGATGATGATGATATGGTTTGGTTGTGGCAACGCAGCAGTATGCACAGAGAGGCTGTTGCCCACTCTGGGGCCAAGAAGTGGAGAATATGGGCGATTTGCGAACCCACTCTTTTTCCAATGGTCCCTGTCTCTCATTGACTCCATTGCATTCCTCTTGCCATGCTTGCACCATGTTCTCACAACCGCGCCTCACAGCCCGACTGACATCTGTGCCTTCCATCCTACCAATGAACGACGCAACTCCGCTCAATCATCTCGTGCGTGCCTGGTTGTGATGTGGCCAGTATTGTTGATCCTTGAGTCGATCCTCCCTCACACTGCAACACAAATATCAGTCCATGCCTACATTTCATGACCGAGTCTGGTCGACTCTGTGCTGTGAATAGGAAGGCTCGATTTCATGTTCAATTTCATGTTCGATGAATGTGGCAGTACCTGTGGCAGTGCATGGTAACACCGACTCCAGCCAACAAGCCATCGGATCGAGCCAGGTGTGTGTGTGTTGGATGGCCAGTGCTTGGCTTGCCAGGGTATGGCTTGCCATGGTTTGCCTTGCTTCGCCACTTCCCCCTCTGTCCTCTGTCCATCGCCACCCACTTTCCTCCCTCCAGTCTCCGTCAACATGGCCAGCATGAGCGAGCCTGCTTCAACCACGGCATCATTTGCCACCCACCAAAGCCAAGCTGAAGCCAGCACAACCTCGTCGATGCCCGATATCACCCAGCCCTCGCCCGACCACAACCCTGACATCTTCACCATCATTTGCTGCAACGACAGCTTCCAACTCGCCCTCGACCTTGCCACCATCAAGACCCTCCTCCGAGTGTGCAGGCGTGCCCGTCTTTTCCTGAGCTTCAGGTTGCCTCGTTTCAACAAATGGTGCCAGAAGGCAAGCCTGTGCCGTCCAGACGGACAGATGCGGATCGGCCTCACACCGAGCGACAAGATTGCACTCTCGCTGCACTGCAAGGATCCAGGCACAGCCGACCAATCCTGGCTCGTTGTCCAAGCATATCAGAGCAATGTTGTCGCGTCGTATTTCCTGGCAATGATCCTACAAGTCGATCTCGCTGGCCAGCAGTCTTTGGAGAAATCCGAGCAGCAAAGCATGCACCAGCGAATCTTTCACCATTTGGAGAAGGCAGCCCAAGCTGATCATTCAATGGCTCAATTCCAGCTTGCGTCATGCTATCGCAACGGGCTCGGGGTTGACCAAGACCACGCAAAGGCTGTCGAGTTGTACCGCAGTCTTGCAGAACGTGGAATCCTTCAGGCCCAAGTCGCCCTTGGAGGTTGCTACGAAAGTGGTGAAGGTGTCGACCAAGATTACAACACAGCCATCGAGTGGTATTCCAAGGCTGCCGACCAGGGCAACGAAGACGGCCGACTCCACATCGTGTTCTTGCAAGCTTGGTTCTCGTTCATCGGCCACGGTGTCGAACAGAGCGATGTCGATGCTCTCAACCGCTGGCAGGAAGTCAGCAGCAAGTCCACCGATCAAGTCCTCAAACCCATCGCCACTCACATGATTGGCTGGATGCATTACCTCGGCCGGGGAACACCCCAAGACCAGCAGAACGGCATCAAGATCATCCGAGAGAACAAGTCGGATGTGTTTAAGCTCGGAGAAGATGAGTGCTTGGCGTGGTGGATCTCTTCCCCAAGTGACTCACTGGCTGCCCGCAAGCTCTTTGAGCTGTGCCGGTTTGGATCGGACCGTGACTGGCTGTGCAGTCACCTCATGGCTGTGTGTTTGTTCCATGGATTAGGGACCCTGAAGAACCAGACCAAGGCAGCGGGCATCTTTGAACAACTCGCCAACGACGGCCACAGCGACAGCCAGTTCTGGGCAGGGGTGTGCTATCGATGTGTCATGGGCGTCGCAATTGACCACAAGAAGTCCTTCGAGTGGTTCAGCAAGTCGGCCAACCAAGGCAACTTGTACGGGCAGTGGAGGGTTGGTGAATGCAGCTATCGAGCAATCGGAGTCACCCAGGACCGAGTCAAGGCAGTCGAGTGGTATTCCATTTCAGGCGAGCGAGGCAATCGATACGCCCAAAACAACCTTGGCAACTGCTACGAGTATGGCGAAGGCGTGCCTCTCGACATTGACACCGCCGTCTCCTGGTACCGCAAGGCTGCTGACCAGGGTTTCGAAGGCGCCATCAACAGACTCCAGCTGCTGGGGATTCGGTTGTGATGCCCGAGTCCTCCTTAGTACCACCCCAAGCAATTAACACGAAACACTCACCATCAAGTAGCCTGAGCAGCCATGCAGGCGTGAGCCATCATTGAGTGAATTACCAAGGTGATATATACGGAATTGGATGGAGTATTTGACATTCAATACATCCGCCATACAAATCAGTGCTACGCCTCAGCTTCTGTTGATGTTGCTCGATGAGAGAACATCGAATGACCCGAGATTGGCCAACATGAGGAACAATATTGAGTCTCCTTGTGCAAGTGTTGGTGGTCGAATGTGCAGGCATGAGCGGTAGTGCGTCCTCGCAAGCATCAATATTCCGGCTCACCCATCCTCCTCACCAGATATTTGGAGTTTCGCATCAGACAAGAAAGGGAGCATTTGTTACAACAAAAATTACATATATTTGGTGGCCATTGGTAAGGGCCATCGCTGATCGGTTCAATTGGTGAGAGCCTGCCAGCAACTCGAATTGTGTCGCATGTAGTTGCATTTCACGGAATATCGGAGCGGCATGTTACATCTATCACGATAACCAGAACAAGGAACGTCTCGTGATCTCACGTCGTCAAATTGGAAGTGCCTTGGCCGTCGAATGAATTTGTCCAAGAGCAACCTGGGCCTCCGGATACCCTGCCGCAGCCGCTCGGCGATACCACTCTAAAGCGCTCTTGGGGCACCGCTTTAAGCCGCTTCCCGTCGAGTAGCATCTTCCGAGCTGATACTGTCCGCGTGCATCACCGGCCTCGGCAGCTTTTTTGTAGTATTTGGCGGCACGGGTCATATGATTTTTCACATTTTTTCTGGCCTCGTAGAGCTCTCCGAGCTTGTTCATGGCACACGGGAGCCCTCTCTTGGCAGCCTTTGATATCAGTTTGAACGCAGTGTCATAATTTTGCTTGATGTCCTTTCTCGCCAGATGGCAGAGTCCCGATCTGTACTGGGCCTTGAGATTCAGCTGTTGACTTGCGATGTCATAGTGTCTAGCTGCTTTGGTGTGATCAACTTCAACAAAGGTTCCGTGCTCGTAACAATAACCGATGACGTACTGCGCATTCATGTCCTTGATCTTTTCAAAGTCGGCCCACACCTTGCGAAATTCCGGTTTGTTTCTTGGGGTTCCCAAGCCATATGAATAGCAAATGGCAATCAGAAGCTCGCAGAACCAGTCGCTGTCTGATCCTGCAATCGCCCAATAGTAAAGATACTTGAAGGCTCGAGTCCGTGTGCCTTGCGGATCTCCATATTCAGCGAGCTTGATCTTGGGGCTGTCTGTGCACCGATCGCCCACTGCGCCCCATTTTATCAATAGAATAACAAGTTTCTTCAGGGGCGACAGATCTTTTTCCGAGCTTGGAGCAGCATGTGGAGACGCGGTTTCCACCAGAGGCTCGTCACGGAGAAGTTTCTTCCATGTTTCAAAAGCGCTGGCGTCGCTCTTGGGGACGCCGAGACCAAGGAATTGTATCCACCCAAGGAAAAAGAGTGCCATATGCGATCCGGCTGCGGCTTGATCCTGGAAGACTTGTGCGCCTTGCACCCACGCTGGATGAGTGTGTGGAAGGCTTAGAATCAAGTTCTCGACAGCGTCCATGTACCGATCAAAGTCACCGCTTGTGAGATCTTCAAGGGATGAAGCGGGGCTTTCCGCTTTCACTTTGGCAATCTCCTTCACTCCGCGAAATCGTGTTGACCGACCTTGAGGGGGTGAGGCTGACGAAACGGAATCTCGGGAACGTCGACACGATGTCAATTTCGAAGATCTTTCCTCGGACAACATGGTTGGCACTTGGTCCGTCTGGATCTCTGGTGTCGCGACGATCTCGGCAGAAGACATTGATTCTGGAGGGGTTGCTGCGCCGGCAGTCGCAAGGTGATTTGTTGGCTGATGGTTCTCAGCACGAGGCTCGCAAGTCGGATCGTCGGATGAAGGATCAGAGGGCCGACATTCGGTGTCGATTGAGCCATCTTGTTGGATATGCATCGGGAAAGGCTTGTGTATCGGTTGGATCATCAGGTGGTCGAGTTCATCAGCTTGAGCGGTCGTTACTTGTGGCCATGGCGGCTCTGGCACAGCTTCAGCAGCCGCTACCGTTTCAGTAGCTTCGGAATCCTCCCGCTGCATTTCCAATGGCCGAATACTGGAAATTCCCTCACGGCGAGGGTTCGCAGAGCGGTGGATTGTCATTGAGACATTCTCTTGCTCTGGGACTGACCTTGGTGATTCTGTTCGTTTCATTCCTTCTGGTTTTGACTGTTCGATATCTGCTTGTGATTCCAATATCGCTTCCGGTGCAGATACAGTTGTGATAATCTGAACTTCCACTGGCTCTGACGCAGCGTCGGGCCGTTGTCCATATTCTTGTGCCTGCTGAGTCTCTGGTTCTGGCTCAGGACTGGTTGAAGACTCGAGTGTGGCCTCGTGAGTGTAGTTCTCTGTCGCGGTACGGACGACAGACCGTTTTTTGGCCGCGGGGAGGGCATCTTCACTCATACCAGGATCCGAAGCCGGTCGCTTTGTCGTCGAGACCGAAAGCCGGTGGCTGACTCTGTTATCGAGGTCGACTTTGTCAGGCTCTGTACCTGGCTGGTTTCGTGCCACTTTTTCATCGTTCGAGAGACACAGCTGAAAGGCATCAATGTTGAAGCCATTGGGCTTCGGTACACTGATGTCTTGAGTGGAGGAGAAGCACTCCCATAGTCGCTCTTGGTCCATGCAAAATCGATGGATGCGCTCGCGGATGTAACACAGCTCGATCAAAGAACCGGTCTTGCTGGTCTCAAGCGTGAGGAATATTTCGATGTTAGAGTACAGGGCGGCATAGCCGTCGTCGACTTGGGCATCCTCCAAGTGCTGCGGATTCTGCTGCGAAAGCGCTTTGAGAAGCACAAGCGCACGGCGAGCGAAAAACGTCCAGGAGCGCCGGTTGTGGGTGACGTGTCGCATGTAGCCAAAGAGGATGCGGGCAGCGCCAAGTGCCCCGGCTATTGGCAAACCTGGCATTTCTCTGGCAATATCCGCAACAGCTGCAGCTACAGCCTCGATCTCGACGCACGAACTCATGGTACGGACTTGACCAGGGGCGAGACGGAGGGCAGAGGTCGTTGGGCGGGGGATGCTGGCGGAAGGAACACGTCAAGCCCAAGGCAGCCACGGTGTGGTCGGCCTGCAGGACTCACGTGGCTGCACCAGGCACCTGTCCCTGATTGGTTCATGGCAACAAGGGCCTCTCGCAAATCCTCCGAAGGCGGTTGGTGCTGGACGTGCGCTCGCTCAAATCGATATCGGCCGCGCAGCCAGAGGTGCGTGTCGAAGACGCTCTAAAAGTGTCGCTGGTATCGTGAACAATGAGCCCCAGTTGCCGTCTGACAGCGGTCATTCTACTGGCCCAGCTTTGGTGCCTGCAGACGACCTGCCTGGAAATCCAATCGCTCGATGGCACCAACAACAATCTGGTGAACCCATGGTGGGGGGCGACCAACTCAACTATGCTCCGGCTCATGAGCCCGGCCTTTGGAGGCACAAACGGTGAGAGTGAAAATGGCTGGCGATGCATGGCTCCAACAGCACCGCCATCGACGCCACCAAATTGCGAGTGAACTCATCTCGGGCACCCAAGCAATCGCACGCGCCGCGACTACTCATATGGCGCCGTGTATATCGTTGGACCTACAGGTCAGCCTGCTGGAAGTGCCCGTCCGAACGCACGCAACGTTTCCAACCTCCTCCTGTCAGCGAACCAGCCCAACCAACTCGGTGGGTCGGCGACAGCGTGGCTGACCGCGTGGGGAACCCTCATCACCCAAGATATTGCATCGATCGGCCATCAAAGCAATGCCTTCTTCAACATCTCAGTGCCAGCAGGCGATCTATACTTTGACCGTTACTTTAGCGGTGCTCAGAACATCCCAATGGCCCGTGCCGTGGCTGGGGCGGCCGATCCTCGCCAAGCCGGAGCTACAGCCCCCATCAATGTCTATTCATCCTTTATCGATGGCTCATCGATATACGGTCAAAATCCAGCCGAATCGGAGTCAATTCGTACCGGAACTGGAGGCCTGCTCAAAACCTTTCTCCACCCAGTCGCTGGCGAAATTCCCTTGATTGTGGGTCTCGATGGTTTCACGGATCAATTGCTGATTGTTTGAATGCACGGCGATTGTGCAGTGCTGTTAGCCGCGAATGCGTGTGGCTCCGAACATGGATTACCATGGTGGATACGACACCTTATCCGACTCCTCTTGCATTGCAGCCCAAGTTTTTGGCATCTTACTTGAAGCTTGGCCAAATCGGTCGTTGTGCGCGATTCTGACCTAATGTTCATTTGACTCTCTTGACGCCAGGACACCTCAACGAACCTACTCCGATTTGCCCATGCTGCGTCCAATATCGCGCTCCACTCTGTCCTGGTGCATGTGGCCGTGTGGCGCGAGCACAACCGCTTTGCCAAAACACTCAACCAGAGCTGGTCAGATGAAGATTTGTTCCAGTATACCCGCCGCTATGTCATTGCTCTTATCCAGGTCTGCTCAAATCCATGGTTCTCGGCACACACCGAATCCCTTTGATATGTGATACGGATTCACACGACTCCTCTAGAGGAAATCGTCCCCGTCGCGCTCTGACCGTATGCAATGTTTCCACTCACACTATTCTTTGACCGTGCTCTCGACAGCAAATCACCTATGCCCAATATCTTCCTCCGTTGTTGAGCGGGCCACTTCCCCTGTATAGTGGCTACAACAGCTCCGTAAATCCGGCAATCGACGTTTTCTTCATGGCCGTCACTTTTCGATACGGGCACTCGGTCGTCGGAGACACGACTCTAAGCGTTGAAGAATCTGGGCAAATCGTCGGCATGGTCGAGGTATGTGGAATTCGCATTGATTCTTGAACATCAGCTACACGAATGGGCTTGTAATCCGTGCAAATCGAGTCACACGCTTTATTTCAGTACCTGACCAATGTCGAATGGCATCGATCCATAACTGACATCTCGCTGGCCTGCGGGTATATGTTTGCAGATGAGAAAGACTTTCTTCAACTTGGATTGGCTGCTATCTTCAGGACCGGAGGGCTATATCCGAGGACTCATGAACCAGCCCGAGGCAAAATCAGGTGCTCAGTACACAGACGATCTCCGCAACAGTCTGCCTCTCAACGGAAACCAGGGATACGACTTGGCAGCGATTGATATTCAGCGGTGGGTGAACTGGGCTCTCACAGATCACTTATCTGCAGTATCAACTCGTGTGAAGCGCTGGGTGCTTCTCAGGATCCAGGAGCCCTGCCCAAACCATTTTTTGTGGCTCGTTGAGAGTACCCTTGGCGCGCTCGGGTGCATCGACATACACACGCCATCACACGCTGTCGCACTCACAATCCCACACATCATGCTCTTGATCTCCATGACTACTCACAGCGGCCGCGAACTCGGCATTCCGGACTATAATACAGCGAGGCAGTTCTTCAATCTCTCAATGGCATCATCCTACACAGCCTTCAACAATAGCATTGCCCCGGCAGCGACATTAGCTTCTTTGTTTCCAAACATCAGCGACATCGACGCAATCGTCGGTGCCTTGCTGGAAATCCCGTACAAGAACGGTGTTGTCGGTGCACTGGCGCGCGCATCCATTTTGGATCAGTTCACGAGGCTGAGGGATGGAGATCGCTTCTTCTACCGAAACCCCGGTGTTCTCGACGCCTTTCAGATGGCCCAAGTTCAAAACATGAGTTTAGGCAAGCTCCTGCAGCTCAACTTCAATCTAACCAGTGTTCCGTACAACCCCTGCGTATACACCGCTCCTTCGACATCAACGACATCGGGTTCACTCAACTCCATCAGTCTGTCGTCTCAGCTCACTCTATCCTGGAGCATATCCGGTAGCCAAATCACCTTCACTATGGAATATACTGGCGCGGGCTGGTTTGCGTTTGGCCTCGGAGAAACCATGCGCAACGCCGATATCTACTATGCATCGTACGATATTCACGGAAACATCTCTGTGGTCGACGCCATCTCTCGTGACTTTTTGATGCCAACTCCGGCCACACAAGCACTTGGATATAGTCGTATTTTCAACATCATCACATTTGTCTCCAACGACTCTGCCTCGGTGACCTTCAGTCGAGCGCTTCAGTCGAACGACAGCTCTGATGGAGGAACTATCGCGGACGAAGACATGTCGGTCATTTTTGCGTATTCAAACTCCCCAACATTTTCCTAGTATGTGTTTCGGTTGACATGTGGTTATCTTTGAATGGATTCCGTTGAAAAAGCTACAACTATGTTCCGCGCAGCAAGCAGCGTCGTACCCGACTGAAAGCTGCCCTTCATTCACACAACAGCCATGGCGTCAATCGCGGAGCAACTGTTGTCAACTTTTTCAGCTCGCAGGCTTCTGGTCCAAGCCCCACCTCTCTACCCTCATTTTTGCTGCTGGTGATCCATGCGATTGTGATGTTTCTGTCTTTTGCAGTAATATGTGAGTATGCCTTTCCAACGGCAGCAATAACGCTTGCATTCTGTATCGATTGCTAAACCATATATTCGATGTGTCGGCAATCGCCTATCGACGATCAGATCCCATCGGTGTCCTCATCGTCAAGCACGATCCCAACATCAGTCGAGGGCTTCGACTCCACAAGGAGACGATGGAAATCATTTCGGCATTTGTATGCGTTGCTGTTTCGCCCTCAATCTTGCTATAGCGATTGCTGGCAACAGCTAAACTATCGCGCGATGCTTTCCTTGCCAGGTTCTGCATACCGCTCTGACGGCTATCTTGAGCGCCACCTCAGCTGTCATAATGAACCCACACGTCATCCTTGGCTTCATCCTGACGGGACTCGTTATTTTCGTCCAAGTCCTGGGTGCCACCATTGTCTACACCAAGAAGAACCCCAAAGCGGTTCGGTGCTCAGGTTCGATTCGCATGGCCCACCGAGTGTCGGGGTCGACAACGTATCTCTTGGGAGCAATCAATTGCATCCTGGGCATCCAGCAGTTTCTGTCGGTCAACAACATCACAAACATGAACTACTTGGCTTGGATTGCTGGAGCATGGCTGGTTCTGGTGACTCTCGGTAAGAACTCAACGGGCACTATGCAGACTCGACGGTGCTCCTGGGCACACAGTCACAGCCATCCCACTTTCGGCTGGCTTTGTAGCCTGTGGTCGGTGGCCGGTGGTGATCACCACTCTGTTAACGATGCTCTGGTTCCCGTTTCGGTGATACAACTCCTTCATTAATTCAATTGTATCAATCTACATGCCCTGAGCGATGCACAGTCATCTCAGCTGGCCCCATAATATTCAAGTTTGTCCAACCCACTGAGCGGCCACCCTCGTTCGACGCTGAAAAATGGCTCACACTCCCAGAATTTGCTTGGGAGGAGTTTCACAAGCGGATCGCCATGGGCGAAAAGTGGCTCGTTGTCGAGGGCATCGTATATGACATCAAAATGATCGAGTCCACCCACCCAGCCGGCATCCAGGTGCTTTATTGCTATTTGGGAATGGATGCCACTGGCCCCTATCACGGAAGAAAGGCAAGACCAGAGCTGCCCTCCCTGCCTGTGCACAGCCACTCGAAGCTGGCAAAGGTTGTTTTATACGAAGCTGCAGTGGGCAGACTCAAGCGAGGTCGCGACTTTCAGAGTACAAAACTTCTTGAATCAAAAGCCGTTGATCTCGAGAAGCACTGCAGCCCGCCAGTGCCAGGCCTGTCCGCCTGCCAATACGACTTTTACATCATTACCGAACGCGAGCTCGTCACAGGATCTGGGGCCAGGAACCCCGTGTATCGAATCGTCGTCGCGCTGAGTTCCCCCGGCGAGCAGATCTGGTTTCTGCCGTATCAATACGTCTGGCTTCAGTTTATCAACGAAAAGGGAGAGGCAGTTACGAGAGCATACACTCCGACCAAGTCACTTAATACCGGACAGATTGTGTTTTACATCAAGTTTTATCCGAACGGAAAGGTAGGCTTATGTTGGCTCGTGTCGATATAATAGAGACCCAGTTTGAGCCCGGCTGAATCGCCACATGCACTCGACTGAACCATCGGGACACCATGCTCCAGATGGCAACCTATCTTGAGAGCGCCAAGTTCGTTCGTATGAGGGGTCCAATCGACGACGCCCGGACCAAGCGGATCATGAACCCCGCATCACCACAGGGCTGCTTCACCCAGCTCGCCCTCATTGCGGGAGGATCGGGCCTGACTCCGATGCTGCTCTTGGTGGACTACTACTTGCAACACTCATCACGACAATCCGACGGAGGATTCTCCGTCCCCGTAAAGCTGTTCATCATCAACTCAACCAGTGCAGACGAGTTCGGCAAGATAGAGCTGGAGCAGATTGAAAAGGACTCGCGCGGAGGAGTCAAGATCGTTCGTTTCAACAGCTCCAGTGTCAACCCGCTCACAGGAGAGCCGATTGATGTCATCGACTCGATCATACAGCAGCTTCCTCCTGCGCCAACGCTGGAGGAGCAGCGCTTGATACGGAAGGTCGAGAAAGCGAAGCGGCCGAGCCCTTCCAAAGAAGTCAAGCGCTCCCACACAACTATCGAGCACGACTACAGTGCTGTAACGTCGATCAGTGGGCCCGAAAACCGAGAGGCTGGAAAGACCTCGGTGACCAATCGCTCTGGGGCGACGGACGACGGGGGTCAAAGGACATCCCAGATCATCAGCACAAGAATCATTGTCTGTGGGTCAGTAGCGCTGAGATATCTGTATTGGTTCTCGACCACCTCACGAGTCAGTCAACTTACCAGATTCCCATCCCCGCTTGCTATGACTGCAGACCGCCTGCCATGAACGAATCAATCAACAGCAGGCTCGATGAGGCAGGCTACATAGATGAAATGATCATACTGATCTAACCTCAAGCAGGGAGACGCTTTGCTTTCTCTTGCCACTGCTATGGATCTGGATATGCCCACCCATCATCGACAATGGATATCATCTTGCCAAAACAAGACAAGGATTGCGCACTCAGGCGACCCGACCACCTGGCTCTCCTGCTGTGGTTGTGTTGGTAGTCGCTTCCCGATCCGAATCGAGTCGGCACGAAGTTCTCACCATCGCTGGACTTCCGTTCAGACTTAGAGATCGTAAAGGTTTCCCCCAAATGTGTTCAATTTGTGAAGATAATAGCACGGTCACCTGTTCGGTGTTTTAGCTTTCATTTTCAGAAAACTGAGCATTGGGATTACAGAGCTGCATTGGTCGATCTCCTGTGGCGACGATCAACTGGGATTGATGTTGTGACACTGGAGTGTTGTGAGTGGATTTGACCATCTCGATATCAAGATAATTGGGTTGAATGAGTCACTCCCCCCCCCACCAGTCTCTTTGAACACGATGTTTGTTCATGGTAGCGTTTGGGGGGTTGCATTCAGGATCAAGAAAACAACGCCATCCCTCGTTTCGTTATGGGGATGTTCGGGGTATTGCGAACCCGCCAAAAGGCGCCTGGCCAGGTCCTCCGCCCGCCAAAATCGCGCTCGATTACCGCCCCATCCCTCGTCGCGGCGATGGCGGCCTAACTACGTTCCTCGCGAACGAATCGATCTTCTTCATACCACGACACTCGAGGTGGACATCACCGCGCATATGCAAAGATCAAGTCACAGCACCTATTACTTTACATCATAACGTTTGCCGCACCCATCATCGCGCCAATTGCCACACTTCACCATGTTGGCGAAGCGCCGCTTGAAAGCCTCGCTTCTTGCAGGCTTCCTGGCTTTGGTCTATTTCGTCGCCAAGCGCACAGGAAACACAAATCCAGTTGATGGGGTGGCTGTCGCTGACTGGTCCTTTGGCCACCATATCGCTTCAGAAATAGCCCCGTCGCTGCAATTCAAAGGCCCACAATACGGAGACCACCCTGGCCGAGAAAACGCCTGTATCATCATGCTGGCGCGGAACTCGGACAGGAGCGACGTCCTTCGAACGCTCCAGACCTTCGATCCAACCTTCAACGCCCGCTATCGGTATCCGTATGTCTTCTTCAACCAAGAGCCTTTCGATACCGCCTTCAGGGACGCCGTTACCAATGCCACCCAAGCGGTAGTCTACTTTGAGCTGATCCCGCCAGAACAATGGTCCATCCCGCCTCACTACAACCAAACGGCGGTGCTGAATTCCTTCAAGAAGCAAGGTCAGGAGCGGCCTGGACTCAAAGCCGAGTTTGAAAATTACCATCATATGTGTCGCTACTACTCGGGCTATTTTGCAACTCACCATGCCCTGAAACGGTTCAAGTATTACTGGAGGGTAATATTGGCGTTGCTGTCGGATGCGCCTTTCTATACCGTGCATCTTTCGCAATGTCGGTCTCGAGCGACTCGGATCCTCGTATGAATCGCACAGCAGGGCCACCATTGCTCCAGATCCGCCTCGACGCAGCTTCTGATCCATCAACTCGCGGTCTCTTCCAGATCGAGCCCGACGTTACGTACTTTTGCACACTCGCATATGACCCATTTGCGCTCATGAGGAGATGGAACAAAACCTATGGCTTCAACGTCGTCGGCATCGAGGCCCTGTGGACCGTGCCGACTCTCTGGAGCACAGTCCTGGAGTACCTCTCGACTCGCAATCGGACATATCCCGAGCACTTGCGAGCCTTTGATCGGAAATCTGGCGAGTCGCCAGATGTGTTGAGCGCTTTCAACTACCACTATTTTTTCGACAACTTCGAGATTGCCGACCTTGACTTTTTCCGGTCAGATGAGTACCAGGATTACTTTCGGTTTCTCGACGATCGGGGTGGATTCTATTTTGAGAGGTGGGGTGATGCCGCCGTCCATACCCTTGGCGTTGCCATGTTCCTAAAGCCGAGTCAAATCCACTATTTCAATGACATCGGTGAGCACACTTTCCGGTTTCTGCTAAACCTTGACCGATGCATGATGAGGTATATGCGACCCAGGGAATGGGATGGCTCGCCGGGTGCGACATCGTAGACCCAATATTATGGTCGCCATAGCTTGAATATGTTCACGCGAATGTGTCAGTCAGCCATGTGAACTGACTCGGATGAGCCTCCACCGTGCGCACCTGGCGCAGGCTACCGCCATGGACGGCATGTCCACTGTCCTGTGGATATCCCAAAGTACAAGGTCACCTTTGACAACTGCAATTGCCGCGATCTAATGCCCAAGGTGATGATCAGGAGCAGTCGATCGACCGGTGGCTCTTGCAAGCTTTACAGCCGGATTTCGTCGACACTAACCGCAGCCATTTCTCCCTGCCAGACAAACCCTGATGCATATCTCACAGACTCGTGGTGGGACGAGGCTTTGAAGCACTATCTACGACTTGTGCCAGAGCTCGATCGCTGAACGACGACGGCATCATTCGGTCGCATATGTTCGACAGATTTCTGGGAAACCGCAATGCTCGTAGATACCAAAGCGGTGTATTGATCTCATAATACCACGTATTCATTCTGATTATTCGCCCATGCGAGCCCTCATCTCTCGCCGCCTCAGCTTTAGGCTGCCATGGGCAAATTTGGATACCAATCTCATCCTGGATCGCGTCGCTCGATCTCCTTGAGCAGCGGTCGGCTGCTACCCATAGTCACGATCCAAAATAGATTGGCTCCCATAACTGGACCCGATAGACGCGGAACTATGATTTTGAATGCACTAGAAGCGATATGTACAAGTGCTTTCTTTGGGGCTTGTGCATCTCGAGGTGACAACGCGGTTGCTGCCACAGTTGTATTATGAATGAAGACTGCTCCAGCGGCGATATCTCAATTCAGCTGTTCAAATACCATATCTTTCAGAGCATTTACTCAGGCTCGACGAGGCTCGGTGGGGCTCTGTCGAGGCCATTTGTTGATGCCAAAGCGAGCATTCCTGACTTGCACTTTCATTTCTTCAGGAAGCACGAGAACTGAACGGCCGTTGATTCCTCGGCGTTGCGGAGAGCAGTCTTGACGTGTTCGGCGAGCTCCTCTGGAGTGTATTCTGACTTTTCCACCCTTCCATCGCACATATGCTCTATGACCTTGCGTGCGCAACTGAAGAGTGCCTTGGAAACTGGTGTCTCAAAGGTTGCGAGCACCGCTTCTATGTGATCAATCTCCAGCGTCGCCTGTTGGGCAATACCAGAGGGAGTGGCATAGGATCAATCAAAGACCATGCAACCAGCATCGACCTTGGGCACATCTGCCTGTGCAGCACATTCGATCGAATGGCATCGTCCTACACCACATTCAGTACCTGAAGCATTCCAGCATATCCAATGAGATCGACGCTTCGCCATGCCACCAGCAGTGACGAACTAATGTGTGAAGCCATCGTCTCCAGGACTCGACTGACGAGATTTGGAGCTAGATTCTTTACTTGTGAGTGAGCCGCGACGAGCTCCAGTAGGACCCGATGACAGTACGGACGAACTTCCTGAGGCCGCTGCAGGCTGGACCAATCCATGCCCGAAAGCAGTACTCCGTCGTAGATCAGCGACTCAAGAACCCTGTTTCGCCGGCACACGTAGTTCTGAAACAGCATATTGTCCAAATGGCCGATAGTGCTCAGGATAATCTGTATGGAGTAAGAAACGGTTGAGCTCCTCGAGTCTCATCACGACCCGCAATTGCAGGCAAACGATCATCAGAAGGGATCTCATCGGACTGTATGTACCCGACTTTCGGCAGCTAGGTGAGCCTTGAATCGGGTCTCGAACAGCTTGAGTATCCCAGGCAGTACCGTGTCTCGCAGGTATTGCAGGTTGGAGAGGGTAACTAATGTCCTGACATCCTGATGTGTTTGCGATTGTGTTCCAAGAGACGTGGGCACAGATGATTAGCTGTATTTTCTGGGCTTGACGGCACCGCATAGGCAACTGATCAAAAGACACGAGCACACGCATATCCAGGAAGAGTTGTGATCCACAGTAGCACTCGATTCACCACGGCAGCACACCGATCATGCCATCCATACCATATCGTTAAAGTCGACTTCCTTGAACTCAACCCCAAGATACTGTCCAACGCCCCGATCATCAACAACCTGAAGCCTCTTCAAGGACAGCTTAGGGTGGTCTAGTTCCATATTTTTTCCAGTTCCGCCTTCACCCCGAGACTCAGCATCAGTTCCGTTCATGCCCCGCTTCCAATGGGCAACCAAGAAGTAGAATCCATCGAGGACACCAAATATTCCATGCAAAATGCAATGCTTGATCAGATCAAGATGAGGAGATACGCTTGGCGGTTCTGCAAAGAGCTCCGTTGGGAAAAATGGAGAGGCAATCTGATAGAGGGCACTCAAGGCGATCCGCTGATAGCGATAGATCATCAGCGGGAGCGCTGTGGTTTCAGAGACGGTGCAGGCGGCGTCTTGGTCGGTACGATTTGTTCCCTCGCGCAGCCATGTTTCGTAGCTATGGAACTGCCGGGACTCTGTTGCGGCGATCAAGTCATATCAACAGGCATGGTGAGTAGTTTGAGCAGGAGCGTCGGCAGCCTCATCGGTTCCAATCGTGTACCTTCAAGAAAGCACCAAGTCATAGACTCGAGTGCCCGCAGCCTCATTTTCTCAAAAACACCGCCAAGGGATTTGACGATGCTGTCCTCACAGCTGATCTTCAATCCTCGTATCTCGCGAAAGCAGTGCTCCATGTGGCCCATGATTTTGGTCATAAAGTGGCAGCCTGTCAGCGAGTTCAGGGTCAGAAATACCGAAGCCTCTGCCGGCAATGATGCCAGATCGCCCACACATTCGTAAACCATCCGTGACAATCCAGTGTCGGATGTGGATGCGCTGATAGGCCCGGTCGAGTTGATGGACGAAATAGGAGAGACTTTGGTCGCCGAGTCTGTTGCGCTGGAGGTTGGCGACTTTGGATCGCCTCGGCCCGAAAGATCCGTGGAAGTTGCCAGCACAGCCTGCCCATCCGAGGCGATCAGTCCCTGGAAGGGTGTCGACAGAAAGAAACACATTCCGCACAGATACGAGTTCATATCGAAAATGTCACGAAGCATCTGCTCGCAGGTTTCCAGACGCTTAGGGTCGATGCGCTTCTTCTGCTTCTGGCTGGTCTCCTGCGGCGCGTCACCAGCCTTGGCCTGCAGCAGCGGATGCCATCAACAATGTAAAGTCTTAGTCTGCAGAAAGGCAGCACCGATGGAGAAAGCCCCCTTGAGATACGGGCATGCTCTGCCCTCCTGAGCTTCCAAGCGTTTCATCAGGTCAACACTCGCCTTCTGAAACTTGCCCTCGCAAAACGATCGACACAGTCTCCAAAAGTCCGGAAGGCATTCGCGTAGAGTGTTACACATTGATTGAACCACAGCAAGCAAGGCCGCCCATAGCTGTGTGTTTAGGTCGTCCGCTAGAGGTTGGGCAGGGTTAGCAACTCTGTGGGGTTGTACGCTTCGTGCACAGGTGGAGCACCATTGCCTGAGGCACTTGTAGCAACACAATGCACAGCACACCATCCGCCGTACCAAAGATCTTCTCGAAGCCCTTTGTGCCGACACTCCCGAGAGCTTTGCGGAATTGCTCGAGGTTCCACCGCTTGGACCACTTGATGTATACACGATCGTCGAGACCAAGCGGCAGAGCAGTCGATTGAGGCTTTGAAAAGTCATTCAGTGACAGGTAAGTGAGTGTAGAAGCCTGGTAAAATGGCGAGAATTTTTGCTGAAATTCGCTGGTGCAGCTGAAGAGATCTGAACATCGATGACACGAGGTCGAATCAGTACCGACGGACACAGGCGCAAAGACATCCAAGGCCTCTGGCCGGTGGGTGTTTCATGGTGTCCGGTGGACATGCTTACGCTTGACGAGCCTTTCATGTTTGACATATGCCTCCTTGAGCTGAGATATGATCCACTTGTACTGGCTCTCGAGATAAAATCGACCTGGATCGATCACAGAATCAAACTCGAGCAAGTAGCTGATGCCCGGCATCGATCGGGGACGCTGGTCAGATGATGCTGGATTGCGGACATGGGCATCTGTCCGGTGCAGGTCCAGCCCTGGGCGAGTTTAAAAACCTCTTCCAGTGGCAGTCACCCTCGACAAGCAAGATGCAGCATTGTGACCATATCGATGTCCAGCTGGCCGTGCATCTGTGGAGTCAACAGCACGCGGTGCGATTCGGCAGCAGATAGCTCACTTGACGTTTCTCTCCTGAACTTCCAAGGGAACCCATGGGTCACTCAGCTGCTTCTGGATGTCCTTTTGGAGATTCCTGATTATGCTCTCGACCTCGAGCCAAACCTTCTCGAACACCGCCTGCTGGCCCGGCGGCAATAGAGTGCTTCCTTCGCTGACCATGAACTCGCGATCGACGTTGGTGCCCGTAGCCAAGGGCACAAAGTTCGCGGGAAGTGTTCTGAAGCATGACATCACAATGTACTTTCCCTTTTTGAAGTCGCGAACAGCAGCATCATAACGGCCCTGGAATGGATCCATGACATTGGTATACGTCGCTGCCGAATGCTCCAGATACGAGCATGCGCCGATGCCAGACCACAAACACGTCTCCCTTGCGGCGGCAGTCATAGAAAGTCGCCCCGGCTTTCCACAGAATACCTTCTTCATCGAGTCCTTCAGACTTGTCGGAAGCTGAAAGAAGAACTTCCATTGCTCGAGCACGCTGAGGGTCAGTCGAATCTTCTCAGCCTTGGATCGACGCTCAAGCATGACCCCATAGAGACCCTTGGAGTCGTGAGATATGTCTGAGAACGAGAGAATAGGTTGAGCAGCCGCGATCACCATTTATCGCTCTAGATCCCGTCGAGGGGGCTGGCTTACTTTCAAGCCGCTTGCATAGGGGCGTGACCCCATAGTCGTCGGATGACACAAGGTTCTTCCCGCGCATTTCTTGGTAAAAGTCTGCAAGATATCCAGCTGTTAATACAACAATGTCATGTTGAGAGCCGGTGCTTACACTTGCTTACTGTCGATGGTCTCCTTGGCATTCACAAACTTTGAAAAGTTCATCTTGACCAAGTCTTTTGTAACCTCGGCGCGCTGGCTGATCGAGAGTTTCAAGCGCTCGACGCCAGCCTCGAGGTCGCGAAAGGAGGTGGTGCCGTGAACTTCCTGAAGAAATGTTCTGGGGCTGAATGCCTTGTTGGATATCATGATGGCTATGAGCAGAATGTGGGTGAAGGTGAATATCGCAGAAGGTAACAGTACACCATCGAGCGAGTCAATTGCCTATCTCATTCGTATTTCCTCCTCGCGCCGGCGTGAGCCGGTGGTTCGAGATACATCGCAGTGCATACTCACCAAAGCTAACCCCAACGGCCCCACGGGCATTGCGTCGTTTCCTCCCCTTCCTACATCATCATATCAATTGCACCTTCAGTTTACACTGCTGCAAATCATGCCACTCGGTCGATGGACACGGGTGAGCTTGCCAACTCACGTCAAAATGGTATCGCGGATGCCCAGAGGATCCGAAAACTCGTTCCCGTCGGCAGTGCCGGCCATCAAGGGCCCCATCGGGAATGTACTCTTGATGGGAGAGCCTGTTCCGGGGCTAGCGGCACCCGGGCTGGAGGCGTTCGGAGACTCGGATGATACGGCCCCGTAGCCTTCGTCCATGTCCGACCATTTTGTCGGAAAAAGCGTCTCGAGAGCATAATACTTCCGGACTTTAAGCAGTGAGAAACACTCTTCGTGAGAAAGCTGCTGTTGAAAGTCCCATCACAACTGAGCCAACCGCCGGCATCACAGTAACGTAACTGGCCCTCAGCATGTCCCCACGCGACAAAAACCCATGTCATCCAACGAAGCGTCGATGCGGAGCGTACTTGTTTTTTCTTCGTCGTCGGTCCAGCCCTTCATATGCCTGTGCTCGTAGTCATCGGAGTCGGAGTCGTCGGACTCGCGCTCTGGACTGGTTCCGACGGGCGACTCGGCCTGAGGGCTGGCATTGAGGTTTGGAATCGAAAGCTCAAGCGCTCGCTTCTTGGACGAATCAACGGACGACTCCCGTGTCTTGGACGAACGCAGAAGCGAGGGGTTTTTCAACGGAGAGGGCCCGGAAAACGACATTTCTGTGCGAGCTCACTGGTACCCGACATCTGATGGTGGACAGGAGCATCTTGGCGATCCCGATGCACTCGCCAGCACCAGGGCCGCTCGACGCACGGGCTGTGGTGCCCAGGGCCAATCACCCGATCCGCACCGCTCATTGCGCCGCAACGACATCAATGGCCCGACCGACCGTCCAACCGCCGCGCCCATCCACACTCTCTGTCGTCGCTGTCGAAATCACATCCCTGGTCGGCGGGTGAGCACCGCATCCGTCTCGGCATTCGCCCATGGAGCATCACGTGGAATGCTGCGCGCAGCCGCGCAGCACCCGGTCGGAAATTAAACCTGCGCCACGCGCATGTGCGACGCGAGTTTTTTTTCTCCTCGCCGGGCTCTCGGTCTGTCTCGCTCCTCGCGAGAGCACTGTGCGCCACACAGTGGCGTCTCTCGCTTCCTCTCGCCGCCTCTCGCCGCTGCTCTCTTCCCCAGCGAGATCGCCGAGAGGCTCCGTCAAAACTTGGCGGCCGTGTGCACTCTTTCCTTTTCCCTCCCTTCCCATCCACCAACGGCCCACCCAATACTCCTATCTTTTAAGAGTCGGGACAAACCTCAATCCGAAATGGCAAAGTCTGGTATCGCTGTCGGTCTCAACAAGGGCCACATCACCACCGAGCGTGCTCCCCGCACCAAGGTCTCCAACCAGAAGGGTGTGAGTATCCGTCCATTGACTCTCTGCTGCCTCGATTGAGCAGCAACTTGGGCAGAGGCTTCGGCAGCCGGCATCCCAGAACTCTGCTCCATCAAGACACCATCGACGGCGGTATCGATATCGGCGCTGAAATGGACGGATGTGCAACGGGATCGATCAAGGAGCCGATCCCTCCTGCTCTGGATGTATGGCAGGCTCTTCAGCACAGCATCCCGAGGGACGATGCAATCCGAAAGGCGACGGCGTCACGAGCGACTGCATAGTTGACGCTCTCGACATGCGCTTGGCGATCGATGTATCACGCACATCTGCGTTACATGCGACCGGGTGCGTCCGGCTGGCGGCCTCCAACATCAGCGGCATATGCTTGCAAGGCATGGACAAACTGCAGGAATATTCTGATTGAAAGCGCATCGTATCGGCGGCGATGGGCATTCGTCCAAGTGGCGCTGTGTTGGCCCCGCCTACAATATGGCGCCCGGCTGTGGATCCGCGGCGGGCCATCGAGCCAATAATCTGTGTCATCAAGCCTCTGTCGCCTGCGCTATCGCTTGTTTGAACGCTCTCGATACTCAACCATGCCTCTTGCTGTCTACAGCGCCTCAGCAAGCGCACCAAGTTCGTCCGTGAACTGGTCCGCGAAGTTGTCGGCTTCGCTCCCTACGAGAAGCGTGTCATGGAACTGCTCAAGAACTCCAAGGACAAGCGTGCTCGTCGCCTTGCCAAGAAGAGAGTAAGTGCCTCCTCGGTCGTGACCAGCTCATCTCCATCAAGTCGACGTGTATTGATGCGCATGGCGATCGCTGCCTTCTAACCGTGTGTCTGTATCTCGTGTCTGCCCATCCCATCCACAGCTCGGTACCTTTGGCCGTGCCAAGAGAAAGGTTGAGGAGCTCAGCAACGTCATTGCTGAATCTCGTCGCCAGCACTAAGCACCACCTCCTATTGCTGACCGATGCAGATGTGTCTGTTGAAATATACAGTTGATACGCCTCAGTTTTGCCCTCACACATCCGGCCCACATGATCATATGCTGCTGCCGTCTTGGGTTGAATGCTCTGCTCTCATTTTGTGCGTGGTGATAGTGCGCCTCGACATCCGCCGGAACATCTTTGCTAGGTGCACTCCTGCCCGGTTTCGCCGACCTCCCATGCCCAATCACCCGGTGCGCCGCTCTCCTGAGCTGCCCGCCTGGCCGTCTCCATGATGGGGCACTCCCGTTGACCGCAATGTACAATCAGCTGCGGCCCGGCCCGTGCCTCGGCGCCCTATGAACACCGGCTGCCTGATCGCCCGCAAGCTGCCCCTTGACCCCAATGTCGGCCGGGAGGCCTTCCCACCGCCTCGTCTGGGTCGTGTCCTCCGCTTGCACCTCTTCATCCCTCGATCGCCGTCCTTTGAGTCGTCACCGCCCCGCTCTTCGTCTCGTTCTTTGTCCCTGGACGCATTGCACCACCCCTGCCCGGTGTATCGCGCCTTCCTGTTCGGCACTTTGTTCCTGCCGCGTTCAGCTCCCCCTGGCCATCAGCGCACCTCCCTTCTATCGCAGTCCCTTACGCCGAACACTGAATCGCGTCGGCACGCTCAACCCGTCGGTGCCGGCTGAACTCCATCTATCCACGTCACGCCATCCCCCAGCCGTGAGCACCGCGCCGCCCGAGTTTTGTCACCATGTCGCAGCAACTAATCGACGTGGAAGACGCGCAGGAGCATCACGACCCGCCAGCAATCGCGCCCCTGGGTCCAGGAGGGCTGTTGCCGACGGCCTCAGCAGACACCCGTTCCATCGTGGACGGCCTCGGCGGCGCATCCACCCCTGCGTTGGTAGCAGCCTCAAAGGGCGATATCATCTCCGATGCAAAGCCGACCCCGTCCAAAGAGCCCCAAAAGTACCTGAGCGAGGCAACCCGGCTGCGCTTTGAACGCATCGTGCAAATGTACCCGCGTTTCGGCCCTGAAGAGTTCGGCCTTGGAAACGACGACCTGGCTCGGATCTGCAACTTTGACAACCGCGAAGCCGCCTCTCAGATCGAGCTTCTCAACGAAGAATATGGAGGCGTCGAGGGCATCGCCTATCTTCTGAAATCCAACGTCGAGACCGGATTGCCCATCAAGAGCTCCCACGAAACGCGTCTGCGCATGGGCCATGAAGACACCAAGCCCGGCCACTACGCCAAAATCACCCCGGATGATGAGGCGCGGGCCGGCAAAGTCGACCTTACCCCGGTCGATGACGAGGCCAGAAAGATCCTGTATGGCAAGAACATCTCGCCGCCGCCCGCCTCGGCCAGCATCCTCGAGATTGTGTGGGAGACGGTCAAAGAGGACCCCATCCTCAAGATCCTTCTTGTTGGCGCCGTCGTGGTTCTATCGCTCGGCACATCCATGTGTCCCAGCACCGGTTGGGGCGAGGGCCTGGCCATCCTCATAGCCGTCGTCATCGTCCTCTCTGTCACCGCCGGCAACGACTACAGCAAGGACCGCAAGTTCAAGAAGCTGCTGCTGATCCAATCTGACAAGAAAGTCAAAGTCATCCGCGGCGGGGTCAAAGACCAAATATCGTCCTGGGACATTGTCGTAGGCGACCTGGTGGAAATCCAGACCGGAGATGAGATTCCCGCCGACGGATTCTTTGTGAGTGGCAACCGGCTCGTCGTGGACGAATCGCCGCTGACAGGCGAATCGGCACCCGTCAAGAAAGGGCCCCTTGCGCCATTCCTGTTCTCTGGTTGCCAAGTGAGCGAGGGCTCTGGCTTGATGCTCGTTGCTCTTGTTGGTCCGCGCTCGAGCGGCGGGCAGATCCAGGAACTGCTTAGCGAGGCTCAGAATCAAGAAACCGTTCTGCAGGAGAAGCTCAAGGTCGTCGCCATCCTGATCGGCAAGATCGGCGTTGCTGCCGGCATCCTGACCTTTCTTGGGCTAACTACCCGCTGGGCGATCAACTGGGCAACCGGCCTGCCCACCCACGGGACCTGCGGGTCGGCTTCAACGAGTTATGCGACCATCGCCCGCATCCAAAGCCTGGCCGAGTACTTTGTTATTGGCATCACGGTCGTCGTCGTTGCCGTGCCCGAGGGCTTGCCGATGGCCGTAACGATCTCGCTTGCATTCTCCATGTTCAAGATGATGCAGGACAAGTGCTTCGTGCGCCACCTGGACGCATCAGAGACCATGGGCGAAGCCACTTGCATCTGCACCGACAAAACCGGAACCCTCACCGAAAATCGCATGACAGTCGTCAAGGTCATGATCGGAGACTACACCATCAACGGCGAGGGCTCGGGCGACGCCAGCGCCGCACCGTTCACAAAGTCAACCTTTTCATTCCGACTCCGATCATTTTTGGCCGAAGCAATCTCAACCAACTCGACGTGCTTTATCAAATACAACGAGGGCACAGGACAGCCCATCTTTGTGGGACCGGCGACGGAAGGTGAGCTGTTTGAGCGCTGCCTCGGACTGGCAGCGCAACTATCCGCATCGGCAGTGCCGCTCCCCAGACCAGCAGTCTCGTCGCCTATATTGACAATCTTGGTGCGCCCTCTTGTTGCACCGCAATATGGCAGGCGCCCTCCTCATCTTTCTTTCAAAGCTTGGCATAGACTATGCCCACATCCGAGAGCAGACCAAAAAGATCGACAATGGCATCTGGAACTTTTCGTCAGAGCGAAAGAGAATGTCCACGCTCGTCAAGGCCAACTCCCAGTCTCCCACCGCCTCCAACCGATTCAAGTATCGCCTCTACACCAAGGGCGCCTCTGAGATCATCTTGGGCCTGTGCACCCACGTCATGAACTCGGATGGCACCGACCTGCACGAGATGGGATCCGCCGACGTCTCCAAGATCCAGCGCAACATCAAGAAATGGGCCTCCGAGGGCCTGCGCACGCTTGCCCTTGCCTACCGGGACACCGACCAGCACTTGACCACAATCGAGGGCCAGACCGTCAAGGACGATCCTGAGCACGACCTCGTGTGGATAGGGCTCATCGGCATCAAGGATCCTGTCCGCCGCGAGGTCCCTGGAGCTGTCGAACTCTGCCAGAACGCCGGGCTCAAGATCCGAATGGTCACCGGCGACAACATTCTCACGGCCTGCAAAATCGCCACCGAGTGCGGCATCCTCTTCAGCGACGGCGTGGCCTTGGAAGGCCCGGTGTTTCGAGCCATGGCCGAAGAGGAACAGCTCGCCATCATTCCTCGCCTGCAGGTGCTTGCCCGGTCTTCGCCGTCGGACAAGCACAGGCTCGTTAGTCTGCTGAAGAAAATGGGCGAAGTCGTGGCGGTCACTGGCGACGGCACCAACGACGCCCCCGCCCTCAAAGAGGCCGACGTGGGCTTTGCAATGGGTATCTCAGGAACACAGATCGCCATGAATGCCTCGGACATTGTGCTTCTGGATGACAACTTTGTGTCGCTCGTCCAGTCGATCAAGTGGGGCCGCAACGTCCTCAACTGCGTGCGCAAGTTCTTACAGTTTCAGCTGTGTGTCAACCTGACCGCCATCATTCTCACCTTTGTCGGGTCGGTGACCGTGGGAGAGCCCCCCTTGAGCACCGTCCAGCTGCTGTGGGTCAATCTCATCATGGACTCTCTCGGTGCCCTGGCCTTGGCGACAGACGAGCCCGAGCCCGACATCCTGGACCATCCTCCACATGCCCGAGATGCCCATCTGCTCTCGACCGAGATGAAGCTGTACATCATCACCCAAGTGGTCTACCAAACGGTGGTGCTGCTGGTGATTCTTCTCCAGGGCGACTACATCTTTGTTCTTGCCACGGTCGATCCAACCGACACCGACCACCCGGACATGCACACCAAGACGCTGTGCTTTGCCACGTTCATCTTTATGCAGTGCACCAACATTGTCATGGCTCGGCAGATCAATGGCGAGCTCAACGTCTTCAAGGGATTCCTGCGCAACCACTACTTCCTGATCATCCTGAGCGTCATCATCGTCGTCCAGATCATCGTTGTGACCTTTGGCTCCACCTTTGTCTCGACAGTGTCGCTCGACGCGGCCGAGTGGGGACTCTGCATCGGGTTCGGCCTCGGCAACATGCCCTTCACCTTTGTCGTCCGTGCCCTCACCAAATTCTACCACTACATGCAAAACAAAAAGGCCGGCAGTCGGCAAGGCAGCTCCAGCAACCTGCGCGGCGGAAACAGACGCATCTCGCGCTACATGCTGAATGAAGATCGTCCCACGGAGCTCGGCAAGTCGGGGAGCTACTCGGAGAGATCGAGGTCCCGCCAGGACGCATCCTCCAAAGACACCGGCTCGGGCAAACGTCCTGAACCTGTGCAGCGGCAGTCAAGCCGCGGCCTGGTGCGGAAGAAGTCATTGGCGGTCGAGTGAGACATCCCCGACACCAAAGAGTCAGCGACCAAATCGCCGCCAAGGAGGGCCGATGCAGCCAGAATCGGTTTGGCCGGCATCTGGTCGGTCTGCAAGTCCCTGTCGATCGGCGTCGTTTCCATCGCTTGTCCACTGGGGCTTCTTGGTGAACGGCAGCTTGATAATCGGTTGTGAGTTTCGCCCTGATTTCCCACAACTTCCGCTGCCGCCCGTGCACAACGTAATCTGCCCCGTCGTCCTATTTCAACCACCTCCGACTCTTCACACACTCTGCAAGCACTTTCCTTCCATGTCGCGAGCATCAAATCTGCTTTTTTTTCAAACTGCAACTCATTCTAATCCTTGATTCTTGCATCTACATCTCGGAGTCCCCCATATTGAGCCTAGAACTCTCCTTTTATTTCTTCTCCATGTGCGCCTACATGAGCGGGGCACCATCTTGATACTCGGTTCGATGGGCATCAAACGTACTAGCCCTCTTGGCTTGGCCGATGTATCGACACGTACACCCCTGTGCAGGAGTTTGCATGCTGTATGTTTGCTTCCTCGCTCGCCCCTTGCAGTCGACGAGTGCTCAAGAACAATACAGGGTGCGCTGGAGACCAGCTCATGTCTCATAGCAGCCGCCGGCAGGTGATGGCTATCGCAGTTCGAATTGGCATTCGAGCTCTAGGGGTCAGCGCTCCCTCCCCTTGGATATCCACGGTCACCGAAGTATTCGCGTGAGGATTCTATTGATACATCAGAGACCCGTCGGATGTCTGGACATCGACCCGGTCGCAAGACAGTGCATTGGGAGCGAGGGCTGGGATATATGCGGTAAAACAAGGATGGTGCTGGTCAGGACATGGATGGACGAGTGTAAGGCTGGGAGAAGTGGGCCAGGCGGATGGAGCTTCAGCTTCGATCCACAAGGTCAGACATGGACAAGACGACGATAAACAACATGTGGGAACAGACAGCGGGGCTGCCGGCAGATGCATGAACTGGAGATGGGAGACGTGCAGATGCATATGTGATGGGGGGTCGTTTGGTTACTGGAGAGTGCGATTCCTGGAGCGGACAGCAGCCAGCAAATCTACACAATCGACAGAAAGGCGCCAAAGCCCCGGCGCTTCAGAACGCCGACCTTGCGGCCGTAGCGGGATAGAACCTTGTCGACATTGACCCAGGGATGGCGGCTGTTTATCAGGTCGGTGGCATCCTTGCCGGCTCCGAGCAGCAGCATCTTCTTGCCACCTGGGTGTCGGCCAAGATAGGCTGCAAGATCCGCAATTCGACCAGGAGTGGAATGGCCATGTCGGATGTGGAGTGCCGAGCAAAGCCATGCAATGCCAAGGGGCGGATGAATCCATGGAGCAGGACGGAGCATCAGCAAAGTGGTTGGGTGACGGACACCAGAGGAGCCGAGGAGGTGCGCCGGCGAATCAGGGCAGCAAATGGAGCCAGATAGACAGAGGCGTTGGTTTCATGGCACAGATACGAGCGCTGGCAACAGATTCACCCTTCCCACTCGCCGCACCGATGGAGCAGCGCCAGGGCAATGCGATTCGGCCGAATCCCTTGCAGCACCAGCGATTCGCCAGTACCTGTGGCGTCGTAAACGGTTCCCCGATATGCGAGCCAGAGGGACTCGGGGGTGTTGTGCTGTGCCAACTCCTCGAGGGAGATGACCCGACTTGAATCCTCCAGTTCGGCAGGGGTACTTGAGGAGCACTTGCGGAGGGATGGGTGTTCCGGACTGGAGGAGTGCGTCGGCTCGGCGCTGCTGGAGCGAATGATGGCCGGGCTGGCGGGTTGCGGTGCGGTCCGGTGAGGGCGGGGAAGGAGGAGATGTGGTCGCAGTGAATCCATCTGGCAGGGCGGATGTTCTTTGGAAGGCTCAGGGGGAGGCAGACGGGTGGAATTCGCTCGGCAGCGACGCAGGGCCAGAGAGTCGATGATGGATGCCAGTACTGGAGAAGTACTGTCGCTCGGGCGGGAGGATTGGGGCAGGCTTTATGGGCTCGATGGCGTGAGAGTTGCGGACGGCCGGGCTGGCGAGCTCGTTCCGGCAAGGACGCACAAGCGCTTTCGGGAAACGTTTCATTGGCAAGGCCGGCCCGGAAGCGGCGAGCAATCAGCATCGAGGCGGCAGCGCGCACCAGGCGGACGCTGAAAGGGCACCGTCCTCCTATCGGCGGGGCATGGCCGGCACCATGGCCAGGCACACAACGAAGCGACGGAGAGACACCGGCATGAAGACCCGGCGCACGTTGGATGATGATGTGGTATTGATGCGATATTGCACTGGTGTTAAAGTAACATTGCACTGATGTTAAAGTAACATTGCACTGATGTTCAAGTAACATTGCACTGACATTGATGCGATATGGCTTTGACTTCGACTTCGACACGGCGCATCGCCCCGTCTGCTCGCCCTTCGGGTTCCCGTGCGGTAGAGTTGCTGTCGTCGCAAGTGCCCCGCGGCTTGCAGCAAGCACTTCCTCAACAGCGCCAATCACAGCACCGTGCGCAGAACAGAAATCGCTCATATGTGGTTGCCTCGAATCAATCCGGGAACGTCGACGATACCACCTCCCCACACCCTCAATCACCCCTGGACCTTTGTGCGCTTTGGCCACCGGCGCCGGCCCGCCCAGGATGACATCCGTGACCTCTTTTCTCTCGGGTGAGCCTGCTTGGTCCTGCATCAGCGCCTCGAGTGTCTGCAGAATCCCACTGCCAGCAGGCGCTCCGTTCCCAACCCGACCAACAATCTTTGGCTTGGATTTCGCCAGGCTCGCCCAGTGCTGTTCCAAGTTTGCCGTGGCTGTCTTGGTATTCGATTGCTCCCACTACTAGCTCTCCTTGTGTTCCAGCGGCCGCCATCACCCAACCTGCTTGTCCTTGGCCGCTCCCACCTGTCTGCTTCCAGCACATCTGTCTCAGTGGCGGCATCGGTATATCTCCCGCTCGGCGATCCCCCGCCCTAGGAATTGGACTGGTTGCCATTCAGCAGCTGCTCACTGCCAGTCCCTTCCCTCCATCAAGACTCTGTATTCAGCACTCATATTGAGCCTCCGCAAGCCCTTGCCCTCCATACCACTATCGCTCCATTTGCTACACCGACCAGCTCGCCGTTCAGCAGCCCGCACCGTTACCATTCTCGTCCAAAATGCTCACACAGCCCACACCCGCCCTGCCGAGCCGACAGAAGCAGGAGCTGAGTAGTCTGCGAAATCCACACAAGACCTTCCCACTCAATGCTACCACTCGGGGTGGAGGCGCTGCCGACCACCACCATCACCTGCGAGACGGGCGACCAGGATATGTCGGCGCCGTCGTTGTTGTACCGGCATCCGATCCGCTGCCTCGGTCGTCACTCCAGCCCGTTTCCGAGAGCCACAACACCATCGACACCCACCTCAATAATACCGACTGGGCGCACACCCACCGGACTGTGCACATCCCTGGACAACCCAACCTGCCTCCTGGCATCTCGCACGAACAAGCCTGGCGGATGGGATATCCCCGCCCGACTGATGCAGAGCTGCCTGCCCCGGGTCGCAAGGGCGCCAATCTCGTCAAGTCTGCCTTTGCCCCTGCCATCCCCGAGTATGTCCAGCAGCAGATCGAGGTCAACAGACGGATGGTCGATGCCGAAGTGAACTTCAAGGCTCTCGCAACCCAGCCGCTGCTGGCCCGCCCCCAGACGCTCTGTGCCCGGGTTGTGACCGAGAAGGGCATGTACATTCCAAACTCGGCCCAGGCACTCCCGGGCCATGGAACCGGGCAGCTCGCCACCCACCGCGATGAGCCCACCATGCTTCCTCGCTGGCCCGGCGGCAACCCAAACGAACACACGAGCGTCAATCTCGGCCGGGGCAAGCGGCACGGATACTCCATCCCGGGCATGCCGTATTCGACAGGCGACGAGGAGCTCGGGTCGCCCGAGAGAAAGCATCCCGTCAGCCTCTTGCCTCAGTCGGCCAAGGAGCGCTCACGCAAGGGTTACGAGTTGGGCCCTTCAGAGCGATTCCCACGCCCCCATACCCTGCCACATACGATCCCACACTCCAAGCCGTTTGTGCGGCCGTCTATCGACCCCACCAAACCGTCATCTCCACAAATCAAGTTGGTGGCATCCGAGATCCAGAGAAAACCCAAGCCGCCACAACTCGAGAACCAAACCCAGCAGCAGAGCACCATCCAGCGCCAGCAAAAGTTCCAGAAGCAGCAGCTCCAGCAGTTGCAGCAGCAACAGATCCAAGACATCAAAGCCCACCATCTGAAGATGCAGCAACTGCACCAGCAGCAGCACCACCACCATCCACGGGCTCTGAGTCCCGGCAAAGCCGACAACCCGTCCGATGCTGTCGAGCCCTTGATCGACCCACCCACGGCCGAGCTCTTCCTGCGAAATCAAGCGCTGAAGCGACAACTGGAGCAATACTACCAACAGCACGCTCGCGACACTTCTGCCTCGGTCATTGGTCTCCCGCCCGTCTATCCGTTCACTCAGCTGCCCCCTGCGTTCGGGCCAATGACCTTCCAGGGCTTCGAGGGTATCAAGAAAACCTCGGGCGATGCCCAGTTCGGCAACCAGTCCCGCCCGAGTTCAGCAGCATCATGTGTTTCCACAGAGTCGTCGCTGTCGTCCAGGAGCTCTCGCCCATCGACCGCGGCTTCAACAGTTAGCGAAGACAAGCCAACATCGGCCTCCGTGGCGGCGAAGAGGCCTGAAACGGCTGCCAAGGCTGTCAACGGAGGCGTCGCCGCAAACAACGGTGGCATCAGCGCGAGCGGCAAGGCTCCAGCCACTCGGATCACGGTGCAAAAGTCTCGTCCCGAACAAACGACGGCTGCGTATCTTCAGCAGATTCGCTGGGACAAGCGTCGCCATCAGACTTCATACGGAGCAGACTTTGGAGAACCGCCCATGGCCGCATCGCTTGCTGCCCGGCTGGTATTGCGACCCCTTCCTGGAACTGTGCGAGAGTTCAACGGAGGAAAAGGTGAGGCTGCAAACTGCCGGGGGCTCGTCGGGAATGGCTTGCAAGACGGACGACTCTGCAGCCAGATGTCCAGTTCCTGGCTCATAACAGCGCCACGATCCGACCTTCACCTTGCTGACATTCCCTCTGCACGATGTTTACGGCCTCTATATTCTTCTGTCTCATCGACTGGTACCCGAACCCCTCACTCATTACCCGTACCGGCTTGCCTTGCGACAACCACAGACCACATGGGCCACTTCTTCACCGGCATCTCACCAAATCAGAACTATTCAAACCGCTGACCAACACAGATATTGCCTCGGGCCACGGCCAAAGAGGGGCCCGTGTCAAGAGCGAGCACTAATGCGTCTTCACAATGAAACGGGACGCACACCACTCCCCGAATATGAGGTCGCTGATCGCCGCTGTCTTTGCCAGAATACACACTTGTCTATCGCCCATAGTGGTAATCTAGCATGAGCGGCTGGCATGGATCCATCCGAGTGCGCTCAGTCAATGAGCTTCCGAAAATGAAGCGAGAAACCCTCGTTTGCACCAGGGTTGGCTCTTTTCCCGTCCTTAATACTCACGCGCCGCCCATCGTTACCATGTCCAAGCTGTGTGGGGCGGCTTGGGCAACAGGTTTCCATCGCAAGGATGTGGAGTGAGCCGAGCGAATCGGCGCTCGCCGGCCAATCAGCCGCACAATGGTAGGAGCCTGACGGCAACGTAACAATCGGTCCTTTACAGCAATAGGACACACCATTTCGCTCGGCACGCTGTAGGAGCTCGACTCGTCTGGGTCGGTGCCAGTATCTGATTGAATGCTGCCTCTGTCGGACCGGCGAGGGCCGCTCTTGGATGCTGGCACTTTCGGTCGCTCTTTCCTTCTCCACTGGAACATTTGCCCCCATCGGTTCATTCGATCTTGGCCTTGTCGGTCTGGATTTGCCGTTCCCGACTCATCTCCGCGCTCAGAACCGGCTCTCATTCTGCAGTCATGGATAGAGGCTCGTCTCCCGATCTCAAGCGGCCGCCGGCCAAGCCCATCCCCAACATCACCGAGAGCGACGTTCGGGCTTGGCTGTATTCCAATCCCCAGTCGGCGGCGGCCATCGTCCGCGAGTTGGAACCCATGGTGAAAGGCAAGCCGCCAGGATGCCCGTCCCCCAAGCTCAATGCCCAATACACCAGCTCGCCGCTCGTAGGCAGATGCTCGTCTGGCCTCAGCGTCAACAGCCCAAAGGATATCAATCCGTCGCAGATCCGCAGCCATGCATCTTCATTCAATCTCTTGGGCCCCGCCGACGGGGTCGACGTCAAGCCTTCGCCGCTGCACTCGCCCGACGTCTTCTTTGAGATTGCTCGGACGGTGTACTCGTCCCTGAACCTGCCCACCATCATCGAGCGGGTGCTTTCGTATGCCTTGCTCGTCGTCAAGGCCCAGCGCTGCTCCGTGTTTCTGCTGGATAAAGAGAGGAACGAGCTTTACTCGACCGCCTTCGATCTGGGGCTGGTCAATGACCCTTCCAACTCATGCATGGCGCTGTCCGAGGCTGCGGGCGAGCAGATCTTGGTCCCGGAAATGCCTCGCAGCTCGCTGCCCTCTCACCAATCCAACAGCAGCATCGAGGGGAGTCGCAGACCGCTTGAGAAGGGTCTTTCTGACCGGCATATCCCGATCAACGGAACCCCGACTGCCGCCTCAAGCCTGGCTCCGAGCCCGGTCAGGCCCATCTATCTCAAGTCATGCTCGAGCGTATTTCTTGGGTCGGACGTGGATGGGTCGGAGAGCACCGAAGAGGCCTTTCCGACCTACATGACCGTCAAGAACCCCGAGATCCGCTTCCCCGTCGGCAAGGGCATTGCGGGCATTGTCGCTGAGACTGGAAGGGGACTCAATATTGAAGACGCCTACAGCGAGTAAGTGGTCGAGTCCGCGAGGATGGTGTGAGAGACAACGAGGCGGAGAGAAGGGGAAGCAGGCGGCGAGCTGTCGACCGACAACACCCTGACCAGGCCTGTAGAATGGTGGAATGGTGGAATGGTGGAATGGTGGAGTGGTGGAATGGTGGAATGGTGGAATGGTGGAATGGTGGAATGGTGGAATGGTGGAATGGAAGATGCATCGGACTGGCTGCTGGGACTCAACTGTCCTCTGGGCCCGACTATCGCTGCTCCAACCAGTCCGCGCTTCAACTCTGAAACGGACCGGATGACCGGCTTCAAAACCAACACTATCTTGTGCATGCCCATCTGGGGCACTGCCCGGTCGCCCGCCTCTGGCAAGCCCGAGCTGCTGGGTGTGGCCTCGCTCATCAACAAAGAAGACCCCACAGTGCCGCTCAAGCCAGGCGAGCGGTGGCAGTGCTTTACTACCCAAGACTGCGATGCCTTCCGGGACTTTCTGGCTCTGGTCGGCATTGCCGTCAACAATGCCCAGGTTTACCAGCGAATGGAGCAGAAAGAAAAGGAGGCCAGTGAGATGGCCCAGTCCAACAAGAAGCTGTATGAGACCGCTCAGACCGAGGCCAAGAAGGCCAAGGTCCTGCTCGAGCTCGCCCAGAGCCTCTATGGCGAGGACGAGCTCGAATCCCTCGCCGGCAAGATCATCTTGCATGGCCGCGATCTGGTCGGGGCCGACAAAGCAAGCCTGTTCATAGTCGACGAGGAGAAGCAGGAGGTAAGCACCTAGCTAGAAGGACGGGCCACGGACATTAGTATTCACTTTGGCATCGAGAGTGGCCGATGAGACCAAGCCCGTGGGGTGGTGCATGAGAGTCACTCCAGCAGCAGCAGCAGCGCATCGATTTGGTCGGAGCAGATGCGAACCTGCGCCAGCCACGCGGCTTTAGTGTGATCCCATGGCTCACGGCCGCCATGATCCTCTCCAGCTCTATTCTGCCGTGTTCGATTCACAAGAAACAAAATCCCGATTTGCGGTTCCCATCAACCGCGGCATCTCCGGGTACGTTGCCACGAGCGGGAAGATCATGAACATCAAGGATGTCTATGACGACCCGCGATTCAACAACGCAATCGACATCAAGACGGGATATCGCACAAAGAGCATGCTCTGCGTGCCAATCTGCGGGCCCGAGAACCAAAAAGTCATCGGCGTCACCACTCTCATCAACAAGCTGGAAATGCCTTACTTTACGGTGGAGGATGAAGAGGTGTTCATGGCCTTCTCGGTGTTTTGCGGCCTTGCGATCCACAAGAGTTTGCTCATGAGCTCCCTCAAGAACCACCGCAACATGCTGAGCGTCACGATGGAGCTGATGTCCTACCACGTCACTTCCAAGCCAGAGGAGGTGCACGCCTTTCAAGCGTCGATGGAGCGCCAAGGAGTGCAGATGCAGTTCGATGATCTGGCCTCGCCGCTCTTTGATGCGCACGACTACCACCTCAACGATGCCCTCGTCTACATCATGCTGCAGATGTTCAAGGACCTAGGATACCCGCAAAAGTACGAAATCTCGGACCAGAAGCTGCTGACGTATGCGCTGACCATCCGTCGCAACTACCGCGACAATGCGTACCACAACTTTACCCATGCCGTTGCCGTGTCGCATGCGATCTACTACTTGGCCAAGACAGGGATCTCCAGAAAGTACCTCGAGGAAATCGAAGAGTTTTCGATGTTGCTGGCGGCCTTCAACCACGACATTGACCACCGCGGCACCAACAATGCCTTCCAGAAGTCGGCGCATACTGCCTTGGCCGACTTTTACTCGACCTCGACGATGGAGCGTCATCACTTCAACCACGCCATGACGATTCTCAACACACCGCACCACAACATCTTTGAGCGGCTCAGCCCCAACGAATATCAGCGCTGTCTCAAGACCTTTGAGCATGGCATCCTCGCGACTGATTTGGCACTGTACTTCAAGAACCGAAAGCCGACCGAGGCACTCGAGGGTTGCTACAACAAAGCCGACTCTCAGCACCGCGAGCTCGTGAGTTTGTTCAGAGGGCATCGGCTCGCGAGCAGTAGTGCAACTGCGGCGGAAGTGGATGGTGTGGCGGTCGTATTTGGTGTGAAACGGGCAAGGGTTGAGATTCCTGTCCATCGCGGAGATACTGACAGCCTCATGATTCACAGCTCCGGGGGCTCATAATGACCTGCTCAGACCTATCGTCAATGACAAAGCGGTGGGAGGGCTCCCAGCACACGGCAGACCAAGTGTGGGTACCGTCCTTCTCGTCGCCGCCTGTCGTTTGTCACGCGATTGATTCTGCACCGGCAAGCAACCCGATTCGAGCACTGCAGTGTGGCTGACGATGGTGCTTGCCTCTCCGCACGGCAGATACTCGGAGTTCTTTGAACAGGGCGACAAAGAGCGTGCCCTGGGGCTACCGTTCTCATCACCGCTGATGGACCGCAGCAACACGAGCAAGATTCCCAAGATGCAGTTCGAGTTTTATGGTGCCATAGTCGCCCCGGCCTTTGCGCTGCTGGCGAAACTGGTGCCGGAGGTCCAGCCGCTGTACGACTCTGTCTTGGCGAACCAGAGCCGATGGAAGGTGCTGATGGACAGCAACGTTCCCTACGAGATCCACCAGCCATCACACTGAGCCCGCGGGCCGAGCCTGCCAGTGCAAATGCTCTGGAAACGACGTGTGGATCTGGGCAGCACCAGCATGAGTCTGAAACACGACCATACATGGCCTCGTCGATGCAATGTGGGGGTGTGGACTACAGCGTTTCCAAAATGAAATGGGAACACCCCGTTTTGGGCCATGACAGTGTTTTTTCTGGAACCTGAATACACCCACCCACTCATCGCATTCATGGCCAAGCAAGTATGTCCAAGGAGACCGAAGTGGTGATTGCCTTTGGGAATGCCTCCTGGAAGCAAGGGAAGGGATAGGCATCCAGTCCCAGGAGACTCAGGTTTGCCAAGTATTTCGAGCAATTCCACCACCACCAGAGACGACCACCAGACCCATCCGTCTCCAAGATCCATGTGTGCTCGGTGAACGAGTTCAACACATCCCAGGTGTGCTCACATTGCCGGGAAGCCAAGCGACTCGAGAAGGTCGAGCATCTTGATATCGATACACCATGAAGCTGTGCAGAGGGTCGAATGCATCCACCACACTCCCACATCGAGACATCAATGCCTCAAGGAACATGATCTCGGTATGCCAGTCGATCATCGCCACAGGAGATCGACCGAGTGTATTCAAGACTGTGCTTCCCAAACCAACCAAAACCACTCGATTGCCAACGAAGACAGGAGTGCAATGCCATGGCCTACCCGCTGGGCCTACAAGTCAGTCAGCGGGCATCTGAAGCCAGAAAGGAACTGTCCCGTTTTTTCTGGATAGACTGTAAGCACAGCCTCCACGGGAGCACGCGCGCCTTTGGTTGTCACACCGACAAAGAAACCGGCTGTTGCGAGGGCGCGTGGATGCGAGGTGCAATCTGCGTGCTTCTTTGTCTGCCTTGTTTGGAATGGGGATGTATGTCCAATTGCGCCGACGCGATGGATGGGCTGGTCGGCCGAGACAAACAGAGGAGGGCGTGCGAATCGATGCCAGCCGAGGCGTCTCCATCACAGAAGGTCGTTCGCCGAGTATCTTTGTGGTGGTGGGGTGAGTGGGCCAGCGCAGCCAGCCCACAGCGCAAACACTTCTGCGAGTGGGCTTGGTCGACTTGGTGGGCCTGGTGGGCCTGGTGGGCGAGCGCGCTGCTTCCACATGCCAGCGAACAGGTTCGGGACAGGGCGGGCAGGCCACCAGCACGCAGTCCTGCTTGAAACCCAAGGTTCGATCAGCCGGCGCGTGCTGTCGAGTACCTGTTTGCCGCCTCCGAGACTGCAAGTAGATAAAAGGTGGCATTCTGCTCGGGGGGAAAAGTCTCTTCACGCCCAGCTCTTCCGCCGCCATCTGCATCGAAATGAAGCTGATTCTCTCTGCCGCCGCTGCCGCCCTCGTTGCTGCCACCAGCGTCTCTGCCTGGGTTGTCTCTGGCCCTCAGGTTGGAGCCGAAGGCAAGGTACAGTCCTGTCGATTCCATCGTGTCTGCAATGTGTTTCGCTCGGCCCGGCTCTGCTGCTATTGCCACCCGAGATTCTCATAGGACGATGCCATTGCATACTGCCCCGCCAGGTCTGGCCCATCCCCAGCAAGTGCTGGAAAACCCTCGATGGCAAGCCCACCCTGAACGTCTGCCATCGTGGTTCTCGCTTCCACCTCCCCGAGGAAAGTGCTGGCGCCTACTGGGAGTCTGTCCTCCAGAACTGCGACGTGAGTATCGCCCGACCCGATCGGCTTCCATCAGCCCATGCTCGCTGGATAACTGCCCAGCCAGCCAGACGCGAAGCTGTATGCTGATCCATCACTCGCTACCGCCAGTACACCGAGCCCGATATTACCTTCTCCAAGGACGGCGTCGCCATGGCCAACCACGACCTCTTCCTCAACCCTGGCCTTGATATCTCGGACCCTTTCTTCACCGGCAAGGACCGAAGCCGCGTAAGTGTGGTTCCTTGTATCTGCTTCATCTCGTCTCGCCGTCGACAGTCCCGCGATCGCTGTTGGCACCTGCTCACTAGCTGCCATTTCCTGTCATTGCGTTGGCTTGCAGTGGGTCACCAAGGAGGATCAGTACCAGCAGATCAACGCCTCCTACTGGGTCAGCGACTTTACCGCCAAGGAGATCAAGGATCACGCCTTCATCATCCAGAACGCCGCCATGACCTGTGAGTCGCTCTGCCCACTGTCGACCCCGACTTTGGATCCGTTGCCCCCGACAGATGGCAGCACTATGGATGGGATTGCAGATGTTGATGTTGATGTTGATTCCTTTGTGCAGACCGCCCCAAGTTCTACAACCACCTCTTCCCCATGCTCACCATCGAAGAGTACTACCAGACCGTCATGAACGTCTCGGCCCTGACCAACACCATGACTGGACTCATTCCCGAGATCAAGTCGTCCTTCTACCACAGTAAGTCACATGCACATCTTGCAACCTCTCCCCCTCATTGATCGCGGTCGGCCCGGGGCTTCTGCGGGTGCACACCGCAACTGACGTGTTCGCCGATATCACCCCGCCAGACACCCAGGTCCTCAACAAAACCGACCTCTCCGCCATCAACTACTTTGACAATGCTGTCCCTGGCGGCAAGTGGCCCAGCAACTACGAGTTCCGCGCCGAAGAGTCCACCATCGCCACTCTGAAGAAGCTCGGTCTCCCCACCAAGAACCACCCTGTCATCATCCAGTGCTTCGGTGAGTATCTTTGTCGGCTGGCTGTTGACGATCGCCACTCAGCCAGACTCGATCCAGACTCGATCCTAACAGCGCAATCGGCTGTCCACAGAGTGGGCCACCATCGAGTACCTCGCCCGCACCTACCCCAACCAGAGCATGTTCCGCGGCCTGCTCTTCCTCGTCGATGCCAACTGGTGGGCTCTCACCAACAAGGGCCTGGATGCTGTTGCCGCCGTCGCCAAGGAAACCGGCAACCAGTAAGTGTGGTGCTGTGCAAATCAGAGGTACATCTCAAACCAATCCGTACAACACACCGGCTGACCATCGAGTCTCTCCTTTACCAGGATCTACGTTGGCCCCTGGAAGGATGCCACCTGTGAGTCCCAGTTTCAATCTTGCACTATCGCGATCTTGCCGACAGCTCCATGTTGCCTTGGTGGCGGGCTGATCCCTCGGGCCCATTGATGCCGACCAACATTTTGAATTGCTGACATCTGGTCTTAATTTTTCTTCTTGCGCAGACGACGGCGAGCCTCTGTATATCCTCCAGTCCTACAACATCAACATCTACGATGAGTCCCGCACCGCCCTCGTCTACCCCGGCTACGACCGTGAGTGTCGATCGGGAGTGTCGAGCGGGACAGACAGATGAGCTGCAGCGTCCATCCGAGCATCAGCTCTTTCATGGCCTCAAACTAACATCTCTCTCGCAATCTACCCTTGCTCCTATTCAGCCCGCGATATCATTGAGCCCGCCGTGAGTAGCCCAAGCCGAATTAGATGCAATGCTTGCCTGGCTGAGTTTGACGTCCGCTCCATCAAATCTTGTCCATCGGGCTAATTCCGCTTTTCACTCTCGCAGAGCCTCGTTGCGGCCATCCACCAGCGCGGCCTCTACTACTACCCCTACACCTACTACGACTCTCGCCAGTCGCTCTCCTACAGTAAGTCTGCTCGCATTCCGTCGGCGCGACCTCGATCTCTGTCGCTCAAGTTACCAACACATCTCTTTACTCTCCTCCATGCCCGCTCTAGGCTGCATGTCCTCCATCCCCAAGGACTTTGACATGAACTCGCTCCACTACAAGCCTGTCCCCTGCCCCCAGAACAAGCGTGACGAGTTCTTCCAGCACTACGCCATGGGCACTGACGCCATGTTCATCGAGAACCAGGCCGAGGCCAACCAGCTCCGCGACGAGTACAACACGTAAGTTGCATTTTTGGAAGACAACAAGGTCCCCCTCTGCGATGATCTAGAGCTGGTCGATAGCCCTGGTCAGATTGCTGTGCAGTCAACATGCCACAAAATACTAACCATGGTATGAAATTCCTTCACGATCCCAGCATCCTGCTGCTCAAGTGCCGCGAGAACTACCTCAAGAACGCCGCCAGCGACAACTTCAACTGGCCCCCTGGTCCCAGCAACCACACCCACAAGTGCCGGGCCTAAGCGTGCCGTAGTCAGTCGGCGCACAAGATCGCCCAATCCATCGCAGCTACCGGAACCCTTTGCTGGTCCTCATGCACATCTACATCCACTTCGCCATCTTTGCCCCTGCACCGGCTCCCATCTATTCATTTCCATCCATCCGTCTCTCCTGAACTCACTCTCACCCCACCCGTTGCCCTCCTCCAAGACATCCCACCATACTCCTCAATCTATGATCCCTCCATCGCTGCTGAGTCGTCCTGGTTGCCAGGTATCCCGCGGAAGTAATCGCAAATAGAATTCTTTGTCGACTCGACCATGTCATTCCGATCGCTGCTCTTGACCTATACCCAACCCCGATACATGGGAACACACGCGCACTGTTCACATCGGCAAGCTTTCGAGCAAAGCACCCCATGTCGGTTGGTGCTAGAAGCGCCGATGCGGGACCAGGGTCGGTGGAAGGGCATCGGGGATCTCTGCCCAGCCCTTGGTCTTGATTTCGGCGAGCCACATTGCAACGATGAACTCGTCTGAATCCAAATATCCATCTGGTGTCCAAGCGATATGGAAAGTGCGTCAGCGTGTCGCTCTGGCTTTATCAGCTCGTTCAAGGTGGTGAGCCAGCAATCCATCAATATCGTAGCAGCTTCACCTTGAGTCCAGTCGGCGAGCTTCCAAATCTTGGCGAGTGTGCCATTGTCGAGCTGAGACGCCTGGAGTACCGGACGCACCACAGCCCCGGAGAGCTTGCCATCCACGGGACTAAGGGCAGCGAATCGATTCAACAACGCTTTGCGGTCGATCGACTCTATCCGCAGCGACCACGTTAGCGAGGCAGTGATGCAGCGTCAAGCGCTGTGCAAGCGAGTTTGGAATGGAAGGAGCAATGACTCCGCACTGGCCGACCGACCGAACCCACCCCAATTCCACAGTTGCTCAGGAGACGGAGTCGCTAGGGTTTCATGTGTCCCTTCGACGCTGGCAAAGTTCTCGAAAGGATTCTGGAAGATTTGTGGGACCGTGGGTGTGTTCTGAGGGAAGCGTTTGATGAGCTCGGGAAGGTCTACCGAAATAGCCTGGGCGCGGAGGATGATATATAACAGACGAAGCGAGTCATTAGAGCCCGTGCCGGCGACCGTAGGCAGAACGCCCGGCTATCGGATATGCGCAATTACGACCAGCCACCATGGCTGTGACTGTCAATTGCCCTGAGTGTGATCTCCCCACTGGCCAGCCAGCCGAAATATGAATGTACTGAAGGCCATGAGACCCGGCGCAAAGGATCGGCCTATCGAGGGGCACAGAGGGCGAATGAGATCCGCACCGTGTCGAGAGTAGCCATCAGCTTCTTGTCCAACTTTGGAAACTTGTCGATCTTGAACAGACTGAGCTTGGACTTGAACTCTTCGACATTCGGAAAGTCTCCCCGAGGCAAGCGATGCAAGTGCTCCAGTTTGGTGAACTCGGCAGCGAGGTTGGCGAGCAGCTCGCTCTGTTTGGACGACTTGCCGAAAAACCCCGGCATCTCTTGCTTGAGGTGGGATATGATCAGGGCATGAATCTACATGTGCACGGTTGAAGGTCAGCCACTCAGTTCAGAGGATGTCGCATCGCTGCCGAGAAATCTGTGCCATACTGAATCGCAGTCCACAAGCACACTCCTCTCGGTGTCACCAACCTTGACCATCGACGCCCGCTTGACAATGTCGTTGATCTTTCTCATCGTCGAGTTGGTCGAGAGAGACCGGAGATCGGCGAGGAGATCCTCCTGCTCGGCAGAGAGCAGCGCCTCACAGTCTCGATACCGAAGCGGTTGGTCCCAGAAACTTCCAATGTAGACCCTCATCACCTCGGGAGTGTTCAGGACCTTACCCAGGGACCACATCAGAGCACCGTAGCTTCAGACGCAATGTCGCGCAATCAAAGTCATTACAACCCCGGCGGCGATGTCAATGAGGGATCAGAATCAGCGCCAGGTCACATCAGCGGGCGAGCCAACGTGCCATCAATCAAGTCCTGGGCTCGACCGAGGGAGCATAGCGCTGCGGCTCAAGACTCACACTCTCAGAAGCTGTTGTCCGTTGACCATGTCTGCTTTGTTGAGGATGACTTTGACCTTTTCCTCGTTGCCCTTCAAACCCATAATGCAGTCCTTGAACTCGTCGCTGATGTCGAGCTTGTGGGCATCAAACAGGAGCAGAATGGCGTCCGCCCTCGCCGCGAAATACTCCATCACCCCAGAGAAGTCGTAGGAGCGGCCGATGCGCTGCTTCTCTCCCGAAAGCACTCCCGGCGTGTCGATCAGGGTGACCGACTCGAGAATGGGCGAGCTTGTATATGAGACCTGGGAGAAGCCCGATATTCGCATAAGGCAGATGTCCGACCCCCCCTCCTTCAACTGATGTCTGCTCGCCACATCTCTCAGACCGGCGGGCAACATGAAGTTGTGGGCACTCCATATTCGTACCTGGAACTTTTGAAGGAAACTGGCGCCAAACCGTGACAGAGACTGGCAAGTCGAATCTGCTGTGAGCTGCGGGTCGAATGCATCCTCGGCGACGGCGGCATTCCGACGTGACTCTGCAGTCCTACTTACCGTGAAGGGCAGATCCCGGTCGACAGCTGCTGCATTTCCGGGGATGATGCGGTCTTCGCCGCCAAGGATGGCAATGAAGCGGTCCGTCTGGGCGATCGGAGGTACAGGGACAGTGAGTCGCAAAGTCACAGAGGATCGATGGTGTGCTGCACCGCCCTACCGTGGGCTCGGGGCCAATGTGGCAGCCTGGATACTCCTTCTCAAGAATATACTTGATGAAGGTGCTCTTTCCTGAGCGGTGGAGTCGATCGGCAATTAGCGGGCCACCATGAAGCCCGTTCACAAGCCGGGAAAGCGATGAGAGGCGGCATCGAGCACGGCCCAGACTCAATCGAGCACGGCCCAGACTCAATCGAGCATCCGCCGAAGCATTCCCCGGACCCACCGACAGAATACTGTCCCATCAGCAGCACAATCGGTTTGGCTGTGAGGTCTGCATCCGTGAGCGACGGCGTTGAGAACTGGTCAAAGGAAAGCAGTTGCTCGACAGGCTTGATCTTGCTCTAGATGGGTTGAGCGTCGCAGGCCATCCGTGGAGTTGGAATCGCGCATGGTCCACAATCCCAGTGATGAGCGCAATACATGAGCGTATGAAAGACGGGACGAGACAATCGATCAGAAACTCATTCGCTGAACCCTGCCTCTGCTTGCTCGCGTCTTGATATCGTCACGCGCAGATACATTCGGCGCACTACCTTGTATATATCCTTCAGTCCCGCGATTATGTCGGTGTAGTTCGGGACGCTCTCGGCTCGCTTCTTCTTCATATTGATGCTGTAGGCAGAAACAGGCAGGCGGATACGATGGAGATTTGCAAGCTGCAGCGCTCCCAAAACGAATCGGGGCGACCTGCTCTTGGGGCTGATGAGCGCTTTCCCGAGCGCATTCTCAATCACAGTGGCCGCCCACGAACCTCGATTCATGTGGTGCCGCATCACTCCAATGCCCTGGCCTGATCCACATCCTCAGCATCTGAAAGCGCCATCCATAAACTTCAATGTCCAGCAGATCCAGGCGGTACATCCAACACTACTCTATCAGCACGGCCAAGATATTCCGCTTGGATTCGGTCCTATGATCGCCAACACGAGCTCGCTGCAACCCGCTGGAGACAACAATGGCGAGATGCATCAATGGCCGGCGCATCTGCCCATTCTGTGTGCCCTCTCTATCCATTATTTCATTTGCAACACCGTCTTGGTCTCGATCAGACTGGCTCAGGTCGAGTCGCCCGGATGCCTCTCGATCGATCTGGGGGCTGCTTATTGGCAGCGGCTCTGTGCTGGGCAAACCTGCGCATCCTGGGTCCATTGTCTCGGTTCCCACATTCGAGCGTTTGTTCTATCCCATTGAGACGGTTGTCCCAATCATGGCCATCATTCAACACCGAGGCTATTCATTCGATTGGCTCTCTGCCCAGAGAGCAACCTGTGCGGCCCTTCCTGCCCCAGGTTTAAAACTCTTTGCCTGCCTGCACCAGGACCCAGATATTTCTGTTCAACAGCAGAACGTCTGCAACACCATCCGCCCTCCCACTCACTTGGGCTGCACTCTGCCAGGAATGTCCTCTTCCGAAGCACCGCCGCCGCCGCCGTCCAACCCGCTCATCCGCTGGAGCCAAGTGTTTCTCCTGTTCGTGCTGAACATCTCGTGCTCCCTCATTTGGCTCATCTACACACCCGTGGCCGATGCATCCACCTCCTACTTCAGTACATCCCTGACGACCATCAATTGGATCAACAATGTCTACATCCTGAGCTTCCTCCCCGGGTCGATCTGCTCTGCCATCTTGCTGGACTCGTACGGAATCCGCAAGACCGTCCTCTTTGGCAGCTTCTTCCAGTTTGTCGGGGCCGGGCTGTGCTATGGCGGCTCTTTCATCTCCAATCCCACGGGCAAGATCGTCCTGGCGTTCATTGGAGAGGCCTTTGCAGGATTCTCACAGCCTTCGTTTCTGGACGCCTGTCCCAAGCTCTCGACAATCTGGTTCGCACCCGAGGAGCGGGCCATCCCAACAGCCTGCTCTACGATCGGTAATCCAATCGGCGGTGCTGTGGCCTTCCTCCTCGTCCCGGCCATCGTACAGACCAGTGCAGACTTGCCGACCTTGGTTCGTACCGCTTGCTTCTCCAACCAGCGACATCCCAGCGGCATGGCTGGTGGTGCATTTGCTGCACACTCGGGCTGCCGGTCCGCAGTAACAAACTGTTTGTTGTATTTCGTACAGCTTCTTGGATATACCTGCGGAACCTTTGCACTGTTTGCCATCAGCGCCGTTGCCTGTATTGAGCCGAAGCAGCTCGCCTCTGTCCAGGCCAAAGACGCCGAGGTTTCCTTCAAGACGGCCTTCATGAAGTGTGTCAAGCTGAGGCTTTTCTGGCAGCTCGCCGCCACCATGGCCATCGGAACGGCAGTCTTCAGCAACATCACGTCCTATCTTAACCAGATCATGTCGCCGTATGGGTACAGTGCGGTGAGTTCCCCCAATGACCACTTGGACCGCTCGAACAGCCAGTTGCGACACCACCCCGCCTGCATGTTAATGTGGAGCTGCACTCATCCCGTTTTTGCTTCTGCACTTTGCAGGACGACACCGGCACCATGGGAGCTGTGCTCGTCTTCAGCGGTGTCATCGCTACATTCATGTTCGGCTATCTGGCTGATCGCAGCCGGCGACATGCCCTGATCCTCAAGCTCAACTCCAGCTTCATGGTGGTCTCCTATCTGTTCTTTGCTCTGATATTCAACCGGCCAAACATCCTCCCGGTACTTGTGGTGTCGTGCTTCTTCATTGGAGTGTTCACTGTCGGCAGTCTCCCAGGTAAGCGAATGCAGCGTCGTCCCAGACGCTAGATCGGCCATGACCAGAACTCGCCGTTCATCTGTCCCGCACGCTCAACAGCTCTCACATTTCTCTCATCCCTTTGTCATCTCCACTCTCGCCCAATCTGCACGATGATGCCAGTGTTCCTTGACATGATCGTGGCCGTCACCCGCAAGGACGGCGTTGGCGAGGGTGTCTCTATGGCATTGCTGTGGGGCACTGCTCAGCTGCTTGTCGTCATCTTCAGCGTCATCTGGGACCGCACCCGCACGGTTGATCAAGAGTATCCCGCTGTCCCATGGATCGTGTTCGGCTCCTGTCTTGTTGGAGCCATTCCGACGCTGCTCTATCCGCTCCGGTCTGATATGCGGGAGCTCGAGGTGCTTGAGAAGCTGGCACAGCAAGATGTCAAAAGGCCAGAGGGTCTCTAGACATAGAATCGTTGGTCTATCGGCTCTCACCTCCTCTCCCCATCGTCGGGCGGAACGGGCGGGTCTCGGATGCTGTGGCTGATCCACAGATGCACGCAATATATAATAAACCTGCTGATCGATACAAGCCTACGGCAACATCATCCAGTCTCGGGTGCCTTCTAGTTCGCACCTCCTGGCCATGCTGCTGGTGCATCTTTATGCACTACCATCGCTTGAGCCCACATCAAAATAATCCACATGGCTTCCGCTCACGAATCCGTCCGGCTTGGAGAGGAGATGCAGCAGCGTCAGAGCAGATTCCGTTGGGTCGACCAGAGTGCCCTTGGTCTTCATATCCACAAAGAGGTCCCTGAGCTCGACTGCGGGCATGTCCTTGCGGATCTCGGCCTGCATGTCAGTGTCGAGGGGGCCGGGAGCATAGTTCAGAACTCGGACCCGGGGTCTTGGGAGTGCCTCTGTGGCATTTGGCCTCTGCGCCGACTCGATCAGGCCTTCTTCCAGTGCGATTGTCTTGTGGATCATGTCCCTGGCAGCCTGGATGCAGCAGCGTCCAGGGTCCATCGAAGCATCGGGAGGCATGCCGTTTGTGCATCGGCGCCAGGGCAGCCGAAAGAGAGAGGTGGAATAACAGCGTGTGAAATGCAATGGCAGGATGGGGATGCAGCAGAGTGTCGGGATGCAGCAGAGTGTCGGGATGCAGCAGAGTGTCGGGATGCAGCAGAGTGTCGGGATGCAGCAGAGTGTCGGGATGCAGTCAACGCACTGATTCTCATCCACAAGGGTGCACATATCCTCGACGCACGGCTATCGGACATGACCGAAGCAGATCTAGCTCGGCTTACCTTCCCGGCAGCGTACAGGCCCCAGCAATCAAACTCCTGGATCCTGAGTTGGGGTGAGGCAGTTGGGGCAAGGCAGTTAGGTCACATTGGGGCTTGTCGCAGAGGATACATCGGCGACGGATTTGCTCGGGTATCATGTTCGAGTATCATGTTCGGCAATCGGAGGGCATTGCACCGATGCTTACGCTGCCAGAGACGACACGTTCACAATATCGACGCTGGGGCAATCCTTGAAGACCTTGAGGAGCTTCGCGGTCAAGGCCAAAGGTGCAGCAACATTGACGTGAATGGCCGACTGGATGTCGGTCCACTGCAGATCGCGGGTGCGGGCGAGCTTGCCCAAGCTACCGGCGTTGTTGAAGAGAAAGAAGTGGCTATAGTCTGTTGGGGCCGCAGGGATGTTGTGGACGATCGACTCGGTCACTCGATCGGCCTGGGGATCGGCAAAGTCGGCCACGAGAGTGTCGACATTGAAGCCAGCACGATCACTCAGCTCGTCCCGAATGGCCGAGAGGCCCTGCAGGTTCCGCCCAGTGAGCAGGAGATCGAAAGTGATATTGGGATACTGCTGCTTGAGAGACTGGAGCGGCGATTGCGTTGCATGGACGAGACCACGGGCAATCCTGAGGGGACGAGCGCAAGAGCACATTCAGAGCGAGCAGGGCCAAGCGGCTCGATCAGAATCGATGCTGAGGAAGCAGCAGCTTACTCTCGTCCGAATCCTCGAGTAGCACCGGTGACGAGGACAAAGGCTCGATGCATTGTGGGTGATGGTCGAGATCCGACTGTGGATGAGCGAGGAGCAGATACAGACGAGCAGAAACCACGATCGATCAAGAGCGCCAGACCCGGCCAGAGCGGAATGGGTCTGTGGTTTGCCGACAGCACAGGTACACTTTATTCAGAAAAAAACGGGACAATATAGCCGTTTCCATGAACATGTAGTATGTGCTGTGCTTGCGTCAAGCAAAGCCACAATAAATAAAACAGATCACTTTGGCAGCCTCCGAGTGAAGACCGCCGGTCGCTCTCCGATCTCCACAATCGACCTGCACACTGTGATCATGTTGCGCGCCGCATTGACGTCGCGATTCCACACCGTCCGGCGAATGGTCATGGCCAGCGCGCGATAACATTGGGTAACAAAATATTCGATGAATGGTCAAAAACCCGGGTGTCCCGTTTTTTATTGGATTGCCTGTAATGGGCCCAGTGACGAAGCGGTTGGCGAGCCATTGCTTCCCACATCATACGCAATAGCTGGCTGCCTGCGGAAGGGCTGCAGATATCGCAGCCGGCATCGGATGGGATCATGGCCACAGAGCCTGCAGTGCCCACAGACTCATCATCTCCATGGTCCACTCAGATGGCGCCGCCATTCCTGCTCTCTGGGACCTCCAGTCTTGCCAAAAGGAAGTGATGTATCCATCGAAAGACTTTTTTTTTCAACGCAGTACAAGGATGACGATAATGAATATGGAACACAGAAAGGGAGCAGGACACCCGAGGCCATTGGGCTGCTTGATATCGCAAAGGACTCGGGTTTGCTTTTGCTCTGGAGGGCGAGAGTGGGTGAAGGAGATCGGAGGGGTGATCGGTCTCGAGTCAACAGCAGCAAGGCTGCGAAGGTGTGCTTGCCTCCTCGAGGACGGAGTGGGCTGGCTCAGTGTTTGGCGCCCTCGTGGTCGCCGGACAGCTCCTTCAGACGAGCATCAAGATGGATCATGTCTTGGCTCAGGGGATAGAACTGAAGCGGGATCAGGCAGGCAGCCCAGGTTCCAAGGACGATCCAGGGCACGGCAGGATAGGATTGATCTGGGTTGCGCGTGCGATCCCAGATGACGTTCATGATCACGATCAAAACCTGGGAGGAGCCCCACAACAGCGACATGGAGACACCTTCGCCGATGCCGTGTTGGCGGGTGACGGCAACGATGATGTCGAGGAAGACTGGATGAATAAAGAAGAGCAGAACGGGAACAAGGTTAGCGGAATCACAGGCGTCTAGATGGCTTCGACACAGGGCCCAAGGTGCTATGACCTGAGCCGAGTCAGAAACACAACGAGATGGACAGAGACCAGATCTGCGACGGTCACTGCCAATTAATGGGACCACACAGGACCCACGGCTGCACAGTGTACTGTCAATGGGCATGGGCTTCAGAGCCAAGCCTACCTGGTAAGCTGCCCACCGAGAAGATACCGATGATGGCACAGGCAACGACGGCCAGAACAAAGTTGCCGGGCTTGTTGAAAATGATCGAAAAGAACACGTAGCCCACAAAGACCATCAGGACGTTGACCTTGAGGATCACGGCATGTCGGCGGGTGCGATCGGCGAGGTAGCCAAAAACAAAGGTGGCTATGACGCCGCTGAAGACCAGGACAGCGCCCATCGTGCCGGTGTCGTCCTGGATGCAGACGCAGGATGCAACGGTTAGACAGCGCTCCAGCAGGTACGAGGCTGTGTGGACAGAGAGCGAGCGAGATGCTCGGAGCTGTGCGCAAGTTGCCAGACGCCAAGGATTGCACCTCGACAGGGTAAGGTGGCTGGCGACTTGCGACAGTCTCGGCAGAAGCACGCCGATCGTACATGCGCCGATCGTACATGCGCCGATCGCCAGCTCAGAGAAAAAGACCCACCGAAGTGTATCCGTAAGGGCTCATGATCTGGTTGAGGTACGAGGTAAAGTCGCTGAAGAGAGAGATACCGCCGGCAGCGGTGACGCTGAGCAGCCAAAAGAGCTTGGTGCCCAGACACTTGCTGTACGACTTTCTGAGCGATGTCTCGATGCGGACTTCTTCCTTCAGAGCCGACTCTGCTTGAGGGGGAGGCTCTCGGGCGACGACCAAGGTGATGATCATCAGGCCGGCGAGAAGGCAGGTGTAGTAGAGGAGCTGGTTGGGAAGATCACGGCGACACGGTTTTAGTGGGTGATATTTTGCCGGACTGGAAAAACGGTGCCCCTGGCTGGATAAAAGCACGCAGCAAGCGATCCCTTCTCAAGCTTCCAGACAATGTGGCTCCGTGGTCCGAGCAAGCACTGGCCAATGCGAACACGGTCGCGATACCTACCAGCGTCTGGATATCGCCCTGTGACTGAACCACGGCCGGGACGATGAGGAAGGCCACGGCACTGCCGACTGGACTGCCAATGGTGGAGCAGGCGGTGGGGACTGCCCGCTGGTCAACAGGGAACCAGTCGTAGGCTTGCTTCGGACAGGCATCGAGGAAGAAGGGCTGGGCGAACCCGGTGATGGCCTGGCCCACGACGGTGAGACCGATGCGAGCGGTCGAGTTCTGGACGAAGGCGGCTCCGAAGCAGAAGGCCACGCCGACGCACTGCAGGATGCTGCCGAGCTGAATGGCGCGGCGGACACCCGAGCGGTCCAGGACCAGGGCCGAAACCACGGAGCCGGGGAGGAACATGAGCACGTAGACGTTGTTGAGCCAGTTGACGACGGAGAGCGAGCCGTTGAAGTAGGCGGCGGAGGCATCGGCGACGGGAGCATAGGCCAGCCAGATGAGGTTGCAGGAGACGTTGAGCAGGAACAGGATGAGGACCTGGCTCCACTTGACGACGCCAAGGGGGACCTTCATGATGCGACACCCGACGGGAGCAGCAGAAGGAGAGCAGGGAAGGAGACGAAGAGCAGGCGGATGGGATGCCGGGGCGCTGGAGGGAGGCAACCAAGGCGGGTGATATAAGCAGCGGAGGGCGAGAGCCAGCGGCGAAGGCGATCCAGCGCCACGAACGAGAAACCACGAAAGAGAAGCCACCGAACCCAACGCGAATTTGCGTCCCAAGGCGTTTGGGACACCGCAGCCGAAGAAGGGGTCGTGGTTACACGGCGTCGCGCACAGGGTCACAGGGATGTGGCATCGACGCGTGACACAAACACCGATGATTTGCTTGTGCCGGCGCGTTGCTTGCGGCTGGTGGGTCGCCGCTGTCTGTGTGTGCACACGTGCTCGGCTTGCACTGCGCTCGTCCCGCGCCCACCTGGTGGGGGTCTGTGCGACAGCAACCGTGGCTCCGAAGGCGCGCGCTGATTGGTTGCGCCAGGACCGCCAGTCAGCCACCGGTTGGCCACCGGTTGGCTGCTCCCACCAACCAGGGCGGTGCAGACGTTCCAGCATCATGCAGCTGCATGAGATCTGGCCCGACGCCATGGCAGCAAAGGCGCTCGCCAGTGGATCCAAGCAGACTTGCAGACGGCGCCTGGGCAAAGGATGTCTGGGCCAGGAGCAGGCGTCGGACGGCAGCAAAGACTCAGCCTGGACAAGCAGCCGCTGGCCAATGCCGCAGACTTGCATCGGCGATATTGCCTCTCGACCATCTTGCCCAGGACAACCTCCAAGCACTCCTCGCTCGGATGCCATGCTGGCTGGTATCATCTGGTACCGCCGGATGCCCTGGGTCAGCGCACCCGCCTCCCAGCCCACGGCGCAGCGCTGTGCGATCTCGGCCATGCGATCTCGGCCATGCGATCTCTGCCTCCCCGCAGGCAGCCCGCCGATTCGTCCCGCGTCCCGGCCCATATCCCGGATTCGCTCCGCGGAAAATGCAGAAATAGTGCAAGCTGGGACTCTGGCATCTCCACCAGCACCAGCACCAGCACCAGCATCTCCACCAGCACCAGCACCCGCTCCCCGCTCCCTCGGTCGACTCGTCCGTCCCACCGGCATCCGTTCGCTGTCTGATGCGTTCGCTCCTCCGATCCGTCGTCGCTGGCCCCCGCTGGCCCTCTTCGCTGGGTGCGCTCTGGAGCCAGCGTGCTCGCCTCAGCACCCACAGCCAGCCCGAAGGCTTTGTCGGATCGGCCTCGTCCAACAGCAAGCATCTGATCTTGTCATCGGGGATCGATCGCTGGCCCTCCAAGGTCGAGGACACCAACGCCTACATCGGATCGCTCTCGTCGCAGCTCAACCTCCTCAAGATCAAGTTCAGCTGCTCCGATGCTCGGCCTGCCGCCTCGCCCACCTCGACAGCGCCGCCTGCCGAGCCCGCCTATGCACTGACGCTCTATCCGGACCAGATCTATTTTCCCTCGGTCGCCCAGTCGCAGATCCCGCTGCTCCTGCAGCGGCTGGAGTCTGGCAACCCTGTCCAGGGTCTCGACGAAGTCAGCCAGCGTGGCAAATCGATCGATCTCTATGTCTGCACCCACGGCGAGCGAGACTGTCGCTGTGGCGACCTTGGCCGTCCACTCTTCACCAAGCTCAAGCAGGCTACAGCGACCCGCGCGGATATCCGGGTCTTCCAGATCTCGCACATCGGCGGCCACAAGTATGCCGGCAATGTCATGTAAGTCGAGTGGGCGATGCTGACTGGAAGCGCTCTGCAGGGACGAGGCGTATCGACTCACTCCCATCGTCGCCATCCCCCAAAACGGCCAGAGCCTTCCCATCCGGTGACTGGTACGGTAATCTCACCAGCGAAAAGGCCGACGAGCTGCTAGCATCGCTCGATTCTGGCCGCGAGCTCTGGAGTCACTGGAGAGGCCGCTTGGGGCTTTCGAAAGAACAACAGATTGAACTGCTCCGTCAAAGCTCGGACTCCTCAAGTGCCCCCAGCTCATCGCAGGAAGCCCAAGACGCTGGCTCGACAGATAGGTGGGGTGCAGTACAGATTGCCCATGCACAAGTGACAAACCCGGCCCCAAGTCCCCGGCACGGAGACGCAGCTGCGGATGACTCTCCCCGCCGGCCTCTGACTGATGGATCAGTCGGATACGCTCCATCGATCTTGGAATCCGAGATCGTATGGCCGAGAGGAGGTAGCTGGCCGGCGTTGGCGATTGAGAACTCGGGATACGCGGATTCTGACATGCACGTATTGTCCGTGGCAGCATCCAAGTGACTTTTGCTACCGGAGGCAAAGACAAGGTGTTCAGCGTGCCTCTGGGCATGTCCCTCATGGAATTTGCAAAGTCCAAGGAGATCCCGTCGATCGAAGGTGCCTGTGGTGGCAACCTCGAATGCGCTACCTGTCATGTCATTGGTAGGCACTCTTGACCGACCGATGCAGCCACGACGGTGCAAGCTGAAGGGCTCGCCTCCGATCACATCCAGGGGGTGCTCCACGCGATCGATTTGGACACCTCGAGGGCTAATGAGATGGTGTGTCTTTTGGGTGTGTGTGTGAAACAGTCGATCCGTCGTTTGTCAGCAAGATCCCACCGCCGTCCGACAGCGAAGAAGATATGCTCGAATACGCCGTGGGAAGGGCCGAGAAGTGAGTCGCCGTCGCAGAGAATGCCGAAGCAGGATGGCGTTGGATTTGAGGATTTACATGAGCGTGATGGGTGTGTTTCCCACAATCGGCAGCCATTTCCAGGGCGTCGATGGCCTAGATCTGTTTCAGCATACATCACTCGTCAGCTTTACTCACCCACGCATCTGTGTTTGATGATCGTCCTTTCGACAGCTCGCGTCTTTCGTGCCAGATCAAGGCGAACAAGGACATTGACGGGATCGTCTTCCATGTCCCATCTATGTAAACAGCATCGACCACGAATGGGCTGTTGCCCTTGCGATGTTCACATATTGCAATCGGTGAAGAGTGTTCTGTCTCCAACGACATTGTCCACACTCCTCGATCTGGAATATACAGGCATGTCCATCCAGTGGGTTCCAGTGCCACGGCCATCACAATCTACGGTTTCCATCATCCAGCAGACAAGATGGTGGCTGCGAGCACTGCCTTCTCTTTATCTCGACACTGTCCAGCGACCACCCGCAGACACGGTCGCATCGTTTGGGATGAAGAGGGAATGGAGCGTCGTTTCTGGGAAGAACTGTATTCTTGGGACGAGTGCGCTCGAGTATACAAGGAGCAATGATCGTTTTTTGTTGGTGGTGGTGGGTTTGGGCATGGCGGTGGCGGTTGGGCATGTGGTGGTGGTTGGGAATGAGAGAACGAGAATCACACGAAGAAGAAAACATGTGGATCAATCAAAGTGGTGAGCACCCTGTGGATCAAGGAAAAGTAGTGGCTCCAAACGCCGAGGGCGGCGGCAGGGGGGGGGCTCATCATCGTCGGCGACGGTGGCGACACACGAAGACCTCGTCAGTCAGGGCGCAGTAGCTGAGGATCTGGGCGGACCGAATGGCCAAGGCGAGTGGATCCACGGCGTGTGGACCCATCCATCCAAACAGATGCCACATGATACTGGGAGGATCGAATGGCACGAAGGACCGTGAGGTCATGCCAGCGCCTGGCGGGACAGCCAGCTTGATCATGAGGCCGACTTGGGCATGTGGGCTGGGGCTTTGACATGTGAATGCTGGTGACCCAGCACCACACCGGAGGGCTAACGGGACGGGAAGGCCGGGGGAGAGAGACAGGGCAGTCAGCCGATTCATGGAGCAGTAGAACTTGGCGAATAAATAGATACATGTGAAAAATACGAGGATATCAACAGCGCCCAAGGGAAAGAGTAAGGGCAAAGGGGAATTGGAAAACCATATTGTCTGTTGACAGAGCAAGCAAAGAACTAAGCTAAGGCGCACAGAACTACAAAATGGGCTGGAGAGCAGAGGAGGGGAAGGAGGCGAAAGGGGTGCGGTCCTTCCCTGCAAGACGACGCCGCTGATTTCGGAATGAGTCGAGACGATCATGACGAACGGCAAGAGCGCGCAAGAAGAAATGTATGTGAGAGTGAGTGAGCGAGTGAAAGAGAGAGAGAAGAAATAGGAAACCAGATCCATGAAAGTGACAAAATTTGGATTGGCACTCCGATAAGTTCAAAAGTCGCATCGAGTATAGGAGGACATTGCATAATGGCACAAAAGCAAGCAAGACCAGAAACGAAGGGTCCCACGAAAGACGCATGGGTATTGCTGGAGATGACAGGACCGCTGCCAGGATCACGCGAGTCAGAAGCAGAAGCGAAAGAGCCAGCGGTGTGGTGGGCGCGAGAGTCAAGTGAATAGTCAAGTGAATAGTCAAGTGAATAGTCAAGTGAATAGTCAAGTGAATAGTCAAGTGAATAGTCAAGTGAATAGTCAATGGCGATGGGGAGAAGCAATGACGATAGGGAGAAGTGAATGCGGTCCACAGCGACAGCCGCCGTGGCTTGCCTCGGCAGACAAATCAGAGAGAAGCAGAGGAGCCTTGAGCAGTTTGAGAGACCTGGGGGGCATTTCCTGATGGTGGATACTTCCTGATGGATACTTGTTGATAGACATTCCCTGAGGGATGGACGCCGGGGTGGACATGCAGCAGTGAGTCTTGAACGAGCTTGATGTTGGGGGGCGTTTCGAGGTGATCGGCAGTTCCGTGGCGTGCTCGTTCGAGGCGACGCAGGTGCCCTCACGAGCAGATCGTCGAGACCAGCAGGAAGCCCACGATGCCGACCACGACCCAGTTGAAGTAGACCACCGCCGAGAGCGAGCCTCTCCAAAACAGCACAAAGTGATGAATGGCTGTAGAGGCGCAGTACAGGAACATGTATAGGAAAAAGACCCGGTAGAGTTCCCAGATGCGGTAGTCAGTGAGGTACTGCAGGAGGGACCGCACGGTCTGAAGGGACATGCCGATGATCTGGATCCAGCTGGAGGCGCCGTTTTGGACGAGCAGGGTATAGACTTCGTCGCGGTGGTGGATGTGGGCCAGACGCAGGGCCCGGCCCAGGCCAAAGTTGAGGTCGATGCCATCCTTGATGAGGAACTGGACAATGTCGGCGCGGCCTTGCTCGCAGGCCAGGAAGAGGAGACTGTACTTTGGCAGATTCAGTGACAGGCCGCTCTGGCGGCAGTGCGAGAGAAGATAGCGGATAATGTGCAGGTGGCCCATCTTGTAGGACTCGAAAAAGGCATCGCGATACTCAAAGTCCTCGCCCTTGCTTTCGATGTGGAAGCAGAAGAGACCCAGGAGCGGTGCCGGCGGCGGGCTGTCGACGGCTTTTGGAGTCACTGCCTGGTCAAAGGCCAGGAGGACCTGCAGGGTCTCGAGGTGGCCGAGGGAGGCCGTCTCGGTGATGTAGGGATCGAGCGACGTGGGCGGGTTGTGGATCCAGTTGCGGATCAGAAACTCGACGGTCTTGAAGCGGTTCATGCGGGCGGCCCAGGCCAGGGCTGAGCCAAAGTTGGAGTCGAAGGGGCCAGCAAAGGCCTCCCGGTACTGGGCCGAGTCGGACCACAGCAGGAGCCGCAGGATGGGCATATGGCCGATGCGCGAGGCATAGACGAACGGCAGCAGCCCCTTGGTGTTCCAGCGGCCGTGGCGGATCAGGAAGATGAGGCGGCGATCAAAGTATGCCCGGTAGAGCGGGTCGGAGAAAAAGTGCCTGCAGGATGAACACAGAGCCACCAGCGACGGGATGTCGGACATGCACCCAATGAGGTGGAGTTGGATATCGTAAGGTAGCGAGCCGAGCTGCAGCGGAGCCAGGGTCGCTTGGCTGGCCATGATGGGCAAGCCATCTGGGGACAGAATTGAGCCGCTCATTGGAGTAGCCGAGGACGGGTGAGGATTGCGGGATTGCGGGATTGCGGGATTGCGGGATTGCGGGATTGCGGAATTGGACAAAGCGACGACGCCAGGAAGCGAGGCTGAGATGGTGATAGCCGAGGGATGCGATGCCGTGCGCGAAGTTGGCAGGATTGCAGTGGGATTGCAGCGGGATTGCAGTGGGATTGCAATTGGATTGCAATGGGCGTGTGCAAGGCTCGAGAGATACAATGGTGAGGTTCCTTGCTTCGCGAGGGACGGTGTCGACGAGGCGTGATGTCAGATTATGGTCTGGGGCAGCAAAGCCTCGCCAAAGGCGTCCCAGAGAGCCGAAGACCGTCGAGCGATTCGGACAGCGGGCGGGAACTGCGAGTGATGCAGGGGGGGCACGCGATGCACAAGCGATCGGAGCCGCACAGCAGTCAACGCAGGCCGTTGGAGGATGGTGAGGGCGATGGAGGATGGTGAGGGCGATGGAGGTGGCTCCGAGACTGTTGGGAAGCCGTTCGGAAGCCGTTCGGAAGCAGAGGCAGATTGTTCCGACGCACGGCGGTTGGAGCGATGGCGAGGCGATGGCGAAAGCGACGACGACGGCGACGGTGGCAGAAACAAAGGTCTGCACGACGGAGAAAACGGCGGAAAATTCGAGGAAAGGGCGCGGACGTTGGGCGCGAGGGACGGGACGGGGATCTTGCCGGAGAGAAGGTGCCGGGAGAGAGGTGTCTTGGAGCGAGGGATGAAACTGGAGAGTCGACAGACTTGAAGAGCGATGAACGGATCTGAAGAGACGATGTCGACTTGGGAGAATGCAGATGGAGACTGCTGCCCACCGCAAGAGTCGAGAGCGCGGGAGCGCTGAGAAATATCCATGTCGTGCGTGGGGCGAACAAAGCGGCTGCGGAAGTGCTCCTGAGGAGGGACAGGCAGCCGCGCAGAACCCACGACATTGTCTCTGGGCAAGGTCTCGGGGCAAGGTCTCGGGGCAGACCCAAGGCTGCTGCAGCGCCCGCAGGATCAGCCACGACCGAGAGCGCCGATCGCAAAACAGTGGCAGCCGAACGATCATCAATCCCGCCGCAGGCAGCGCTGATCGACTTGCCAAGGTCAGCGGGTTCGGCAGCCAGCATGGGTCATGACAACGACAGCGATAACGATACCGCCGCGTAGATCGTGAAGGCGTTGGGTGGCTAATTCGTGTCGTTGAAAGGATAATTCGTGTCGTTGAAAGGATAATTCGTGTCGTTGAAAGGATGGTCTCTCGGCAGCCCATGCCGGCTCTTGACAGCCTGTGTCAATGCCTCGGCACTTGATTGTTTCGGCCTCGGCATCGCTTTTCTCGCCGACGGATCCCTTCGCAGCAGCGCCAACAATCATCCAACAATACGCCAGTCCAGAGTGTGGATCGGCACCGTCCCTCTCTCCTGCTCAGATCCACGGCGCTGCTCTGCTGCAACTCTGTTGCGCTGGCTCGGCATCCGTTGGCCTCGCTTCAGCCTTTCTTCGCTTCAGCTTCAGCCTTTGCGCTGTCGCAAACGCGATTTCAAATGCAGATGGCACCGATTCGGCCACGTTGACAACCCGCTGGGCCTCGCATCGTCTGGCTTGCCTTGCCAGATGGCGTATTTCCTCCGTGCTGGATGCCCTTCGCCGGAGAGAATCCTGCCTCCCCGCATCTCAGTGACGGCTGTCGGTGCATTTGTCATCGGCTCGAGTGAGTGCGACTCCTGCCGAACGGCACACCCACAACAATGCGGCATATCAAATACCTCGCGCCCTGGACAATACGATATATCAAACGCCTCGCTTGTATTTGTCACGAGCGCTGCGCAATCGACTTGAATATCGGCTTGAATATCGGCATGCTCGGGTGAAGCCACACTTTGGTGGGCGACTCCCAGAACTCAGATGTGCACACGGTTGCAGATCGCTGTGAGCATGGCCAAGGGCAGCATTGCACTCACCGAGAAACTGGAATCAAACACATGGGTCTCTGCGATTTCTCGCCGATGCTCTATCACCCCGTCAATCTGCCAGTGTGTCGCCCAGCGGATCGCTCGTGCATCAGCCCCATTCCCAGGAAACATCCGCCCCGCCCATCCACCCATGCCGCTGCTGCAGCCGAGACCGCCCTTTCTACCAGCCTCGTTGACGCCATTCCGGCCATTCCGGGCCTCACCGTCTCCGTCCGCGATTAGAA